ACGAAAATATTCCGGAACATTCCGCAAGAACTAACTACGAAGGTACAGTTGCATGAAGATACTTCGTCTAAAAAGAAGGAAAGTGCCTTTTATAGTGATTAGTTTGCAGAACCTCCCAACGTTTTACCTCCTCATCGTGACTGGGAGGTGTTCCTGGGCGTCGGACTGCGATGTACAGCGGGGGGATTCGTCACCGGCAAGGTCTCCCAAGCTAAGGAGTCCAGCGTTTTCATCAGGAAGCCTAGCTAAGAGCAAACCACTACCAGGATCCACAACCGTCCTGGTATCAAAGTCGCACAGTGGCAAATCTCACTCTGATCCACAAGGGCTGCGACTGCCTGTCGTGGTGACGACCTGGGGCAGACTTTGGTCAGACTGACCTCGGGATTCCAGGGAACCACAACGGCTTAACCAGCAAATCTCCGAAAAATGGCAACTATGCTGGAGCCCGCACAACTAGTGATGACGGGCCGTTCAAGTATCAAGTAAGTTTGAAGGAACTTCTGTGGAGCATCGATCATTCGCAATGAGGCTTGAAAAGCTCAGCTTTTCTGGATAATGCCTTTTGTACTTATTGTTCCTAGTGAGAAGATAGCCACGCGTGGCTAACAGAGCTGTGATGTGGCAGAAGTTCATGCTTGGCTTGGCTATCCGATAACAATATCGAATACCTATTCAACTTGGGAGGAACGGCTGGGAGATGAACAATTCGCTGCATATCTCAGTCCAATACTCAGAAACAGTTTCCAATATCTACGGGATGGTTTATCTTTATGGATTCGTCCATTAAACGTCCAGATGTGAATTTTTTTTTGAATTAACATACGAAGTAGATCATTGATTTCCTGTCCCAAAATGGAATTGATACAACTATACGAAATAGTTGCAGTTTTTCATGATGAGCTCTCTAAGTAACCAAACTTTTGGTTAGAGTAATTGGTGACGCACCGTATCCACCACCATTTCTCCTCTGTGATCAATCTCTGGGAAGATAGAACTCATAAAATCCGTAACAGTGTTGTCTACTAACGTTGGCCGTTGTTTGCGTAGATGTCATCCATCACAAGAAAAGGCTTAACTAATCTAAAGCAGGTTTATGTCGACGTCGTAAATGCTATGAGTGATAGCTATGTCATTAATCGGACCAGAAGCTTTTTTTAATTGGAATCTTGGAAAATGGTATTTTAGGACTTCTCTGGATTAGTGACAGCCATAAGTATAGTGTTATGCTTCAGAAGTACCCGATTCATTTACTTAAAATCGTAAAACGAAAAAGAAAGCAAGTCTTTATTGTATTCGGCTTTGATATAGTCCTTTACCACTTTTCTCGCTATAGTTTCTTGGATTCTAGTTTTCTTAATGACCCGTTGGCTGAACTAGGACATTGATTGTATTGCCTGAAATAATGAAAACCTGCGAAAAAAAGCAAATTCAGGTTAGGGGACACAAAGCCACAAGTGCGCGAATCGGCCACTTATCTGCTCCTGGATCTTGCCAATGCTCCCTGCAGCAGTCATACGGTATTTTTAAATATATATATATATATGCAAATATATAAATATATGACTTATTTAAATGTTGGCCATAAGAAGTTTTTAATCTTTCTATGGAGATTCTTCGTCAGTAGAATTTCTGTGTTCGTGAATACTGTTTCGAATTATTCAGTTAGAGCATAGCTTCACTAAAGAGAAAATGTTCCACGACAAAAGAAATAATCCGAACGAAAATACATTCGGGTGAACGTGTAACTTCCGGAATTTTCCGCGCGCGTCTTAGAGTCGGTGCACTGTGTCGTCGAGGAAAGCATAGCAAGAGAAAAAATCCTTTGCGATACTGTAGAGTCTCAAACGCATCTTTAATCACAGTGTTACGTAAATTCCTGACAAGCTGAATCCCACATGCTCTTTATCCACGGAATTTACCCTTTCTAGGGATGAGCGTTAGTCAATTATTCTTGCATAGAAATTTTTTAGATAATATAAATGTCACACTTATGCATAGGGAGGAGGGTCTGACAAAACTGGTCTTAGCAATATGTTAACTAATAAGGATCCCATCTAGTTTAGGCGGTGCTTGAGAGGATATCGCCTGGATTTCAGCACAAACAATACCTGGTTCGAATCGGTACCATGAACGTTTTTCTACGATTGATCGACGAGAGGTTCGTTTGAACGCTTCTGAGGAAAACTTTTCTTTTTCCTTCAGAATTTCTCTCGTTCGTGACCTTTTCGGTGAGATCTGCAATTTATTTTTCGTATCTCTGCGATTTTGAATACTTAGTTTCCTGTTAGAAATAGAATGAACACCTTCCCTTTAAATACTTCACCGATTTGAATGTTCTGCCGGTTTTCTAAGAGAAAAGTTTTAAGAACCGACTGCATCAGAGGCATCCACAAAAGTGAAGTGGAGGAAAACCATATTTAAAGCGTTGTTCATATTACTAACTCTATACATATAGCTAAGCACTTCATGTTTTAAATTTGTCATGGATTTCTTGAGTGCGTGCAGATGGGTGCACTGCAATACTCATCAGGTGGTCGTTAGCTCGGGATTACGAAGCCATCCATCCCACCGGTATCGAGGAATTTGTACCAGCTTTATCTGAGAAAATAAAAAACACTGGATACACGTAGTACATCAGTAGACATAAGAAATTTATTAAAAAGGATAAAAGGATAAAACTTTCGGCGTTGATCAATCCCTGAGGATGCGCCGTGCATTCGACTTCCTTAAGCATCGTTGGAGGTGATTGAATGCATATCTGTCCCTTACAATGACCCACGGTGGTATACCAATGTATCGAGTCACAGTGCGGCTAGCCTCCCAGACTGGTCTGACATCAATTTGTCGACCCTGAGGGGATGAAAAGCTTGGTGAGCCTGGGGCGCGGGATCGATCCCATGTGTACTGAAGGGCACCTCCGACCACTGCACTACACGCGACCCTCGAAAGTTATTATATATTCCAAATATGCATTCAATCAAATATAGGTTGCTAAGAATGGAGTCGAATGCACTGTAAAACATAGGGTTGACCACTATAAAAAGCTGTTGAAAGTAGTAGTATTCCTATTGAAGCACTAGTTGTTTGACCACTCTGCTTCCATTCTAGTCTCCATGTCCAATTTTGGGGCCGGTTCCTTTTTATCCGAATATTTGTTTTCCTTCCAAGATGTGTTTTACATCATATGATTTGCTGGTGTCTGATTGGAACTATAAAGATCCTTCAAAATTCAAGAAGCGTGTTTGTTATTAAAAGCGACTGACGTTGCTTCTCAACAAACGTACACACTCTGAACAACATATTCAGCTTTGATCACTCTTTGCACTTGACCAGATTAAACATGGCAGACGCCATACGATGACTTACGAGAGTCTACAATCCTGTCATGTTGTCGTGTTAACTGGGTTTAATGCCAACTTGCGCTCCTCAAATCAGTCCTGGTGACGGGTGATCGCTGACAGCACCGGAATATGAATGTGTCTTTTTCTTATTCAGCAATCGCGAGGCTACTAAACAGCATACATTTACTTCCATAGGAAAACAATACAATACAACAGTAGCTGACGTTTCGGCAGTATCGCCTTCTTCAGAGCCTTGAAGGGTATGCTGATATATAATCTACTAGGCCAAACGCTTCAATAATACTTACAAAAAGACGAAAAACTCTATGGTAATTGCATGATTAACAGGTTCTCGAAAACTCACCGCTTTTTACGTGACTTCCAATAAGGAAGGTTAGAACAGCTGATTATAGTCGCATATGGTCCATGACTGCACCATTCCACATCAAAAATGTATGCAAACATACGGGGTCAGGTCGAGTATGACCTCTGGGCACTCATCCCTGCTATTCATTGTAGGGTTTTTGGCATTTATTCAAAAAGCCTCAAGAAGTAGCTCCCACGACCGACTTTCTATTAACCTCGGCATTGATCAAATAATTCTTCGTATTTTTCTCAGCCTCAAGAAATTTTCGCGCTGGTGTTTTAGTCTTCTGTGCAAGGATATTAACTTTTACTTCAAAATCGTCTCCGCTATGCTTTTGTATCCTATGCGTGCCTAGTGGGGTGCTTCGTCTTTGTTTTCGTCTGCCATCTAGGTGTTCTTTTATACGGATACACAAAGGTCTGCCCGTTTCGCCAATATATTCATCTCCGCAATTATTACAAGATAGCAGGTATATCGTACCTGAACTCATGCAATCACTGTTCCTGCCGTAAGGGCAAATTACGCAATTTGTTGTTTCACACAGACGGTCATACACGCAGTTACGAACTAATTGGCGACGTAGCCGGTGGTATTTCAACTATCGCTGCCGATTCCTTTACACCTGCCCTTCTTAAGCATCGTTTTATAGCTACGCTTACTTCATCGCTAATAAAAGGCTACTTAAACGGGGCTTTCTTTTGGCCAAGTGCTTCGCTTAGGCGAGTCGTTCTTGTAAACTTATCTCGTTGGGTTACTACTTCGTAGCCATTGGAGATGGCTATTTGCCAAGTCAAGTCGCACGATTCTTCCTTTAGTTTCCCGGTTGTGCACACAGAGGTGGCTGTTCGAAACATATTTCTCACAAGTGCCCTCTTTGTGAGTGAAGGCTGGGAAGAAAGGAAATGAACGACGATATTCTTGTTACTTGGCTTTCGGTACCACTTTGTCAAGTAGACGCTACTTGAGAGGTTCATTTGAACGTTTAAAAACGGAAGCTAGTTTTTTCCATTTCCTCTTGTGTAGAGAAGACGACAAAACAATCATCTATATATCTGCAGTAGAGTAGTAGCTGGAGATCGGGAACAGGAGTTTCTATCTTAGACATAAACACAATGGCAAGGCTTGGTGCCAGTCGCTGTCCCATTGCCAACCCCCTTATTTGTGCGAAATAATTCCCAGGCTATCTGAAGATCGAGCAGTTTAGGCACTCCTTTAAGAGAGCCATTAGCTGCTGGATGAACAAGCCATGCATATTTATTCTTCCTTCATGTTCAACAAGAAGTTCGAAGATGGCTTGCATTGCGGAGTCATTGAACACGTTGATGTACAGTGCGGTAACGTCGAAAGACTCCATCACGTACGCGTTATTAGGAGAGGTGTTACGTAGATGTTCTAGGAACATTTGGCTGTTTGTGAGGTGAGATGGAATGTGGTTAAGCAACTAGGTAAGTATTAGGCTTAAAAACCAGGTTATTCTATCCGTTCGCCCGTCTACACAGCTGATGATGGGTCTAACCTTAAATGATGACGGATTGGTTGACGCATATCTAGCTAGCGGAATATAGGACTTCGAGTCAGCTCTCGACACCAAATAACCATTAGTTTTAAGCAGAATGCTCGACTTCGTGAGAAGACCCACGCTGGACTTTTCGTAGTTGACAGAGGGCAACACCTTTCGACACTCAAACTTGGGATTAAATCTTCATATACATAAAGGCAAAACCAGTACAACAGGAATAACGATCGAAGAATTCTGGCGTAAGAATAAGGCAATCAAGTCGAACGTAAGACTCCTAAAGATCTTGCCAAGCCCAAAAAGGGCGGTGCTAGGCCGGGCGTGACTATGTCCAAGCGAGTCGTTGGTGGTAGGGTCAAGGCCCAGGTCGCGGGGTCCATTCCCCAAGCAATGAGACGTACCCAGCAGCATGCCCAGTGGTATGACCGATGGCCAAGAGATGATGTGTCTAGTGGTGTCGTGGCAAAGGCCGCCTCCATCGACCCATTGAATGTGTCTGCTAGGTAGATAGAGAGTTTTGATAGAGGAATTCTCTATACGAAGTTCCTTAAGATGGGATCAAAATATTTACATACTACGACATTTTACCAGGCAACTTGAGAAGCAGTAGATCTGATCCTTACCAAAGAAACATGAGTGATAGAAAGAAATAGTAACTCTTCCGTAGATAGTTGCTATAACGCGGTGATACAAAATTATTGTTTTAATAAGTAGGTATAGAACGGGACATTTTGGTTTGTCGATTTTAAAGTGCGAAATAACCGATGATTTTAAACTTGCAGCTTTTGCCACGATAACCCATTGATGTTTCACTCCTTTCCGGAGGATGGGCGATAGAGGGTAGCATCACTGAGATGTTCCTCTGTTATCTCAACATCCAACTGTCGAGGAATAACTACGAACTCTCCCCCCTTATCACTAACAGACAATCTTATTGTTTTCGAGTTCATTGATTCTCTAATTTCTCGCATGCCACATTTTTGTGCGGCTCTAAGGTTAGAGATGATCTTTCTATCGCGGTAGTGATTAAGGGTCTTGAGAACGCCGTCCGAAAACATGCGGAATTTTATGTCAACCCCATCGTTGGGGTCCTGCTGTCTAAAAAACGTTTTAAGGAAAGGAGATGGCGGTAGTGTCACTGCCTCATGATTTCTATCTCTATTTGATGTTTCTTGTTTGGCCTGATAGCGGAGTCGGTCTTGATGCTCATAAAGGTTGTATATTTTTCTATGAAAGTAAATGTATGCTGTTTAGTAACCTCGCGATTGCTGAACAAGAAAGCGATCCATTCATATTCCAATGCCGAGGTTACTAGAAAGTCGATCCTGGGAGCCGACGACACCGTTATATAGAAATCTGATTGAAAAAACGGAAATCAAAGGTCTCAGTAGTGCACTGACTGAGGAACACATGACCCCGGAAAAGGTAGTCGCGGGTCCAAATCTGGTCTAGAGTCCAAGTTTTGCAATTATCTCAGTATTATAGTGGTTGTATTTCACATAACAACGTACCGGTACGATAACAGTAGGCAGTAAATGAAAAGTAAATGTTTGCATGTTAGCGTCTTTACACTCCTAGATAAGTCTGGCTTTCATCTGCATCACCATCGGCATCTGCCGACACTGGAGGAATAGAGAGGACTTGATTTAGCCAGGAGGCGAGATTGAACCCAGACGCATATGCATGTTCTATTTAGTAAAGCAGAAAAGAATTTCATGAAAAGTAGAGTTCAAAAAGATGGTCTCATGGGTCATGAACTGTATCGTATTGATGAATCACGAAACGAATGTGCATTAGAAATGCTTACCAACGTTTCAACTGACAGTTCGCAGTTTAAATTTGTACTCTACTCGCCGTCCAGTTTGTTCTTGATGGAAAAATCGAATGCGAAAAGCCTTTTAGGAAGAAGACGTTTATGCTTACCTAAGTTCCATTCAGAGTTTTGAAGAAACAATATCTTTTCTCCACTGGTGAGATTACATGAGGTTTTCACAAAGTTTTTATTTCAACGCTTTTACTGACGTTCTGACTTTCGGTGCCTTCGCCTTCTTTGGAGCCGCAATGACCCGAGTGGCTTATGGACAGCCATTTATCTTTTAGGAGACACTGAATATTCATACCATGACTAGGTGAAAGTCGGTTTACAAAAGTTTTACTTCGCTATGTGCCAGCTAATCCATTACCGGCTGCTACGGGACGATTTTCATTTCAGCGAAAACGAACTACTGGTAGGTAATCACTGAAGAAGCGCTCGTAAAAGAGAACAGTGCCGTGGAGGCTACCTCAATCTAGAGCTACCCCGCTCCATAAGAGTCGACTGAGTCGAAAAGTTACCCGAGTAAAACTTTTATACCAACCTCATCACATGATAGCTTACCGATGGAAATAGCATCAATTATTCATGATAAGCCGAGATGGAAGTCGATTTACGACAGTTTTGAATAGCTGGTTTAATCCAATTCGATCGAAATAGGGCTAATTTGAACCACATCTATCTTTTCAACTGACGTGAAAGAGAAGGCAGCTGAAGAAAAAAAACAGGTTAAGGGGTTGAGACAACCCTTCTCCCAATTTAGCGGATTCAGTTAACAATTTTTAGAGAAAAATTTTTTAGGTGGAAGTCATAAATCCTACAAAATGACTTTCTGGCGCTTACTGATGTACCTCAGTGTTTTTTTATCCTTCTAAATAAGTCCGGTGACAACTTGCAAACCCTTGGTAGGTGGACAGTTTGGTTCACCCAGAATGAGAGATTGAACTAAACCATATATATATATATGTATATATATATATAATATATATATATATTGTCGAGCACCTTTTGATCAGTGAGCTACATGCGCTGCCATGTTAAAAAAGTTGATGGAAATCTTCGATCTTGTTCGGATACATCTTTTGTAATCATTCTGATTATATTCTTGTGGAAATTATGTCATTTCATTGTTCAGTGTGATGATTTTTTTGCAAGTCTTGCAGTAAAGTGAGGAAATAACTGAAAACCTGTTTTTACAAAAAAAGGACAACACTGCAGCAAATAGGGCTCATTCTCTAACCACATTTGTCATATTCGTTCCTTTCGTATTTGAGTTTTGATGTCATTCCTTTGACAATAGCCGCGATAGTTCTCCTTTATCAGGGCTGGCTGCTCCTTGTTGGATATTATGTTTAAAATAGCTTCCGTATGCTGAGGTTCTTGCTCGTAGAAGTTTCCAAAAATTTTAAGCTCATCGATCGATATGCATAATTAATACGATATGGCGTTCATTGTACTGATTTGGTCTCACTCATCCAACTTCTTTTACTTGATATTGTATCCTTTTCATATCAGTGATGAATAATTGGTTCCATACGGTTGAACTTATGAGTACTTTTTAAAATTCTGTTCAGTTTTAACGAGGTGATAAGATAAGGTAAGTGATTCCTTTTTTAGCCGAGAAGAACTCGAAGCGCAAACTAATCATCTCATTCCAACGTTTTGCAAATTGATGTCGGATCCACACGCTGATGTAAGTATGACTTACGACGTTTTCTTTTCACCTTTTCTTTCTCGGTTTTTCTGCAATATATCCAGTCATATCTTCATTTGTCATTTTTTCTTGTTCCTGTTGTCTACACTATGCGTTTCCGTTAATTTAGCGGATTCTAACGTTTCGCTACAGTACACTTCGTGAGGCTGTGCTGACATTAGAAAATTTCTCAATAACTTTTATCTAACGTGAGAAGAAACTTAACTGTATCACCACTTAACCACCTGAGTGTAGGTTTAATTCGCTGTAGGAAAGAAATCTGTGGTAATGTAATCTGTAGTAATGTTGAAAAATTTCGCTTTTTCTCCTTTGATAAGTGAACTTTCTCTTGGTGTACGTCGGATTTTCTCACTTGGAAACGAAATTCGTGATTGAGATCGACTCTAACTGAAGTGATAACTATTGGTTGACATATGGCTTTGCAGCTTGTTTAGTTCACCTTTTCTGAGTTGCTTGTCATGAACTTCATCTTTCATTTATTCTTCATAGAATTCCGCTGCGCTTGAATTCAATGCCGGTAACTTTCCCAGCGAACTTTACCTTTTTAAACTTTTCTGGAAAGAAGTTTCATCGTGTAGAATCTTGTGGAATCCATATAAGCATTCCCATATACCTCATTATGTTCCGTTTATTGAACGCCGTTCAAGTGAGTCATGAACATCTGTCTTTGCTAATGTGAGAGTTGCACTCGGTTTCGTTATGCTCATTGCCTTCGTCTACTTATGGCTTCTGAAAGAGTTGAGGACAATGTCAATGTGTGGGAAACAACGAGCACATCATATGCTACTGTTTCACACCGCAACAATTTCCATCATTCCTTTAGATGTGCTATGTCCCAGATTCGCATGTAGTGCAGTAGTTAGAACTTGCAACGCGTGGTCATTGCTTCGATCCCGCGCACGAGCAAACCAATTCCTTCATATCATCGGGTTCAGTGAACTGCTACCAGAAATGTCTGATAAGAAATACCATTGAGTCTCGCTGTACCAGTGGGCTTTGAAAGTCAATGTTTAGGCCAGACATGCATTCAGTCAGCTCTGTCATGTTTAATAAAGTCGAATATATGGCGCTATTCTAAAAGATTGATTGATGTCATTATCACCTTATTGACAACTTTAAGAAAGAAACCTCAATCGCCAACACATCTACGGAAGAAGTCGTTCCTTGAAATTTTTGACCACGTTGCGCGTCTACGAATCCATGTCATCCATGAGAACCTTAGGATCATTTGTTACATCGATCTCTTGCTCTTCCAGAACTGTCTATCCTTCCATGGAAAGTATATTCTGCCCATTTCAAATCAGTATGTACGGATTTCCACTCACTTGTGAACCCATTTATTTTTGTCTGATTTTACGCTCCACTTACTGCATGAGATGTTAAAGGAAGACAAGCATTCTCTACTAAACTAGCCGAAGCCTATCGCATGAACGGCTCTAACGGCTATCAGTGCCTCAAAACACCGCTGGTTTGTTTATTTGTTCAAAATGAATCCATTTACCTAACCTATCTTTACAGGTGCGCGTGTGGCACAGTGATCGGAGGTGCCATGCGACACATGCATGGGACGCAGTGATCGTTCCCTGCGCCCATGACTCACCAACCCTTCCATCCCTCCGGGGTCGGAAAATTGGTACCAGACTTGTCTGGGAGGATAGAAGCACTGACTCGATACACCGGGAAGCCACCGCGAGTCATTATAAAGGCCAGATATGCATTGAGTCACCTCCAACGATGCTCAATGAAGTCTAATGCATGGCACGTCCCTCAGGGATTGGTCAACGCCGAGAAATTTACCCGTTTTATTCTTTATCTTTACATATTGTATTATCCAGGCCTTTCTATTATTCGTCTCGGTATCTTACCTCAGTTGTCTACGAAGGCGTTCGGATTCGCATGTAGGCTCGGCAACCACATAAGGACTTTGAATTATCAACGAATGTCGTTGAATACCGTTTGAGATAATTCTTCCTACAGTCCTACAATCTCTAAAAGAAATTTGAATAAGATGGTATGTTCCTTATCTGTAGTTGTGTGTTCCCTAGGTATTCACTGCAGGCAGTCGCCAGCCTTTCGTGGATCGGAGGGGTTGATTTTCTATGCATTTCTGGTACCAGCTTATCGCCATTGAAGGAATAGGGTGCTTAATCTACCCACTGTAAGATCGAAGCAGCAACCACGCATTTATTGCACGCCATCTCTAATCCTTGCGCTTTCAACGCGACTAAAGCACTATGTCCTTCAAATACGTTTTAATGAGAGCCAGCGGGATCTGCACATCATAGCGGACCTCGCTCTTCGTGGATCACAGGGAATTTTGCCTTATCTTACGATCGGACCTTTCTTTGAATGTGGTTCATTCATTGCTGTGATTTTCAGCGGCACTTGTTACTAGTTTATAGACTTACATACCGATCGAAGATGGTGTGTTCCTTATCTAGAACTAGCAATGGAGTATTTCGAGTTGCAAGTGAGATAAAAGCCCTCGTCGTTAACCAATCTTTTGGGAATGCAGCATGCATTCGAGTCCATTAAGCATTGCAGAGGTGATTGAAAGCAAAGCACCTAAAGAGGTATGGAATCATTGTTTTCTCCTCCACCACTGGTCTGGCACTAATTCGCAAACCTTGGAAGAGTATGAGGTGTGATTTGACTAAGAGGTAGAATAGAACCAATGACCATGTCTGTATTAAACAACATTTCTAACCAATGTGCTCACTCGTTCAATACGGCCATAGCAAATTTAAAACTTACAGCTTTTAATCCCGCTGACGTGTGATTGCTCATGGAAGCGTTAGGTAGAAAACTAGCTGAGAGAAATGCTGAGCAATGGCCTCCGTGGTGCAGTGTTTAATACGTAAACCCCCGTAAAGAGTAATCGTGGGTTCAAATCTAGCCCAGGGTCCAAGTTTTGTGAATATCTCAGCAATGTTTTGATTGAAACTTTGGTGTTCTTCTTTCCAAAGGCTGCTTAGAATAGCTGTGAATTTACGATCTATTAGGAGACGTGTAGATATTTCTCCCAACGGTTTACCACCTCATCGTGGCTGGGAGGTGTTCCTGGATGTCGCACTGCGATGTACAGTGGGTGATTCATTCTCTGGCAGTCTCCCAAACTAAGAAGGAGTCCGGTGTTTCCATCAGGAACCCCAGCTAAGAGTAAACCAATACCAGGATCCACCTTCGTCCTGGTATCAAAGTCGCATGGTGGCAAGTCTTCCTCTGATCCGCAAGGACTGCGACTGTCTAGGCTGGTGACGATCTGGGGCAGATTTCGGCCAGGCTGACCTCGGGATTCAAAGGAAGCACAATGGCTTAACCAGCAAATCTCCGAAAAATAGTGATTATGCTGTGGGCCGCTCAACCAGAGAGGACGGGCCGTTCAAGTATCAAGTATCAAGTAAGTATAGATATTCTAGAGTTGGGCGTTAACTTAACCTTAGGCTTAAGTATTAAGGTCATCAGTGTATGTCGTTTTGTGAGAATCTGCATTTCCGAGAAAACAGTAGTGTTGGCCATTTCACCGTTCGGTCGTCGGATCACTCATAGCCCTCATCGCATATTCCTTTTCTTATTCTGTTGATGTTTTTGTTCGTGTGGATTACTTTAGATTCTTGGAAGAATTCTTGCAGGTACGTGAAGCTGCCATCGGCACATTGGCGCACACGATGCTCATCTACGGTGACGACGTCTGCAACAACATTCGCAACAGACGCCTGATCCCTGAGAATAAGTGAGTGTCTGTTTGTTTATTTGTGTTCGGATGCCTTCCACCAACGTTTTTCCCAATCTTTTCATCTTATTGAAAAAAAAAACCGAAAAGAGATCCAGGTGCGTGGAGCAAATATGAAGAGATTTTTCTTTCCGAAAATCCTTGCCAGTGCTTTCGTGTAATTCCTTCCTTAAAACGTCGTTCTTTTTTTTATCTTGATGTGGTCGATAAAGGATATAGCATAAATGATTCGTTATTGATCAATCTGTACTAAATGCGCCACGTATTCGTCCCCATTCGTAACACCATAGAGGTGACTGAATGCATATTTGGCTCATACGGTGCTTTTGAGTACCTGCCGATGTGTCGAGCAAGTATTTCTATCCTCACAAGCCTGACACCAATTTGCTGTCTTCCACGTGAGCCCGATTAATAGTTTGCTTTGTTTGGTATGAGGAATCGAACCTCCAACCATGTGTATATTGTAGCCCACCTATAACCACTGAACGTAGAAGATATGAAGAAGTGTCGATTTATTTCAAACAACTTAAGAATTCGAAAAGGGTTCGATTTGTGACAACTAAGTACGTCTTATAAAATGCAATACAGTTATTTGAACATACCATCTCGTATTAGGGCGCCGCGCAGTGGTTGGAGGCGCCACTGCGACACACACGTGGAGTCGATCCCCGCGCCCATGGCCTGTCAAGCCCCCTATCCCTCCGGGCTCGGCAAATTGGTGCCAGACTTGTCTGGGAGAATAGCAACACTGGCTCGATACATCGGTAGGCCACCGCAACTCACTGTAAAGGCCAGATATGCATTCGATGACCTCGAATGATGCTTAATGAAGTCGAATGCATGGCGCATCCCTCAGGGATTGATCAACGCCGATAACTTTATCCCTTCTTTTTATAATCATATCGTATTTATTAAGGAGCAGTTGCTGAGAATATTAGATTGATTATCTTTTAGAGGCGACACGTTAACAAAGAGGAGTTTTTTTACAATTTTGTGATGAGGAGACCAGTAATGATCATATAAAGACGTTTATCATTTTTTCTTAAGATTTTCGAAGCACTTTAGCGTGACCTTTTAGCACTATGTTTGTGATAACTGTAAGAACTTTGATCAAGTAATAAAGCGAGCAAAAATATGGACACACCACATATCACGGCAGACAAGTTTTTACCTGGGAAACGTTTCGATATTTGGTGAACAAATTGGTCACACGACGCTTTGAACATCCTCCGGACTTCGTTTAGTGGTGAACTGGTGTTCGTGTTTTTATTTCTGAAGTTATGTAGTAGAAGAGAACACCTCGTCATGCATACAATGACTCCGAAGAAATGACAGTTTCTCAAATTGTCACAGTTTTTGTGGTGCAAGTTAACGACCAGGAGTTCATTTGGATCTAAGGTTGGAAACAACTATGGTGACCAGACACAAAACACCTACAGTAGTAGGCTTCTCATTTCTTTGAGTTCTGTAATGAGCTTCGTATTTATAAAGGATAAAAGATGGAGCCGTGAGCCGTTGGCTGGCCGATATAATGATTCATGGGTGGCCTACTAATGCGTTAAGTCGGTGCTGCTATCCTCCCAGGCAGAGATGTCTAGTTTCAATTGACAGACCCGGGAGAAATAGGAGACTTGATTAGCGCTAGGCGGATGGAACCAACGACCGAACCTGTTGTATTTATTGGAGGGCACTTCTTACTGTTGTGCTATATTCTTCTTTGTATCCTTCATAAAGCTTGTGTGAAATCCAGAGGGTTGTCAGAACGATGAAGTCGCTCTAAATCTACAATCAGTCAAATGCGCTTTAAATAGTTTTTTTTTTATATTTTCACGAACTTTTCGTCCGGTTAGTGAAAAATTTTTGGGCTAAATCCACTAATCCAGGATTATTTTTCGTTCTAACCGCTTACACTCTTCGATTTCTCAAGCGTCCGACATAATGTTGTTCGAAAGTATTCTCAGTTGGAAACAGTGTATGCTTTCTTTCTGAACGCTTATTCATTCTACGAGTAGCGCTAGGTGCTCTTTTTTAAACATTCCATGCTTCTTATTACTTCATTTGATTACCATTTTGGCATGCGAAGTAAAAATAGCTGCTTTGATGCTAAGCCTATTACTGAGGTCCTAAGGCTAAAAAGGCATTATTTGTTCTGAGATTTAAAAAAAGACACAACTAGCAGCACCAGAGTGAATGCTATTTAATCGATATTTTCGTATTGTGGGACACGTGTTGTGTAGTGATTAAAGTGATCTTCAATAGAAACCTAGTCTTGCGCTCGATCTGCCCCCTTGCCAAACCAAGTTGTTATCACTCCAGATTAGGCAAATTGCTAGCAGACTTGTCTGTAAGGATAAAAACGTTTATTCGAAAATCTCGTGAAGTCGGTGTTATCATTGTTTAAGCAAAGTATGCGTCCAATCACCTCTACGATAATACGAATGGGCGGAATGTTCGAATGTCCCATCACTCAGGGATTGGTTAACGCTGAGCACTTTATCCTTTTAGTTTTAGTGCTCTTTGAAATTTAATTAGGGATTGTGATGAGCTCAATTTCGTACTTTTGAGGAATTTAACCACATAGCGTTCTCTATAACGCACCATCGTAATCTTACGACGCACGACTTATCTCCTCGACGACCTCGACTATTAATCCTCACAGTCCGCTCGATTGAATGACTATCCTTCTGTGATGTGGTTTTGCTCACAAAGGAATATGAAAAGTGGGTCAAAAGTTAAATCCACATAAAGTGTGTTCACTTCTTCCACTTGTGAACAACAATGTGAACAATCATTGATTGGTTTTCAGTTTTTCATCTTCAATATTTCTTCTCATTTTGTCTCCTTGATGTCATAGAAATAAGTAAAATTTGAATGTATTAAATCATGGAATGGACTTCCTGATATCTTGATCGCAGAGTGTTTTTTCTTTCATCGTTTTCTTTTGGTTTTGCTAAGGGCTAAACTAATTTACTACACAATGTTTTGCTAAGGAATTCGAGATTCACTTGCTTTTCTCATCTCCTGTTAGCATTTTTCAGTAAGTGTCCCAGATAAGATATTTTCTTATCAAACTAGCTGTGTAGACGGACACGATCTCTGTATATGATTGATTTGTCCAAAAGACCTTTTTAAGGAGATAATCTCGAAAATTCACGTGGGAAACACAAGAAATGATAAGATGGGAGTGGTGATAAGCATGTGATAAGCTAATAAGTATCGAGTTATACCAGAAATTTCTGAGCAGATAGGTCTCATTTTTGGAAATCATCGTCCTGGCAGCCTCAGTCGAAAAATCAGAACCTGTTTTTTGTATGCAGCATTTACGAAGTGGAAATCCACTTATGGTTTTTTCTTCTCCGAATGTGGTGTGGGCATTTGTTCAGTTGCGAGACGTGTTCATACTGCGATCGCTCTTCACATCGCTCCGTTCCGTTCCCACTTTTAAGAATGCTGTTTCTCCATATATTCCTAACACTTGTGACTTTTTCCCTTGCCTTGTCTGATATCCATCTTATGGATACCTGGATTTAAACGATGAAAATGTTGATGTAGAACTGAATAAATTTATTTGAATCATGACATTGCTGTGCTATGACTGTAGCTCATTATTCTGGCAATGATCGCAATTATTCAGTTTTGATGTTGTCTGAATCATCGACCGACCACTTCTTTTTCACCATCACTACGTTTACGTCCCTCTTTAATCGTCATTGAGTGCCAGACTTCTCGCTCCATCAAAAGCCCTTATCGGACCTCGTCATAAGCAAACCCTTGACGCCTTGCCTTTTCAACGGCATTCTGGCATTTTTAGTAGGAATTGGGGCGTATGGTCTGTTAAACAGTTTTTCCACCTATTATGAATAAAAATTCTTCTAAAGAGGCAATAACTATTTCTAAAAAATCTCTCTTAATATCAGCTTTCATTGCAGGAGCAACTTCAGAACTTTCATAAGTTCCGTTTCCTTTGAATACAATAGAAGTCGTTGATTGAACGCTACCTTTTTAACAACCATTCCTACCAGTTTTATGACCAATGAAATAACACTTTATCTTAAACATAACCGGTAGGAGAAATGCTGAGAGTTGGTGACGTCAGTTGGAAAGGAGGTGATAGTGGGCTGGCGGACGTCGGTGGTAGTAGCAAAAAACATTAAGACACGATAAGTATTACCGATGCTACCAACTCTCATTAGCAAGTTCTTGATCTATTTCGACGAACTGCCAGCTTCATTACACGTTTTCAACCACATAACTTCGGAAAGTTGGAAAAATTCAAAATTCAGCTAATGAGTTTCAGGAAGTTAATATGATAGAACGCTAAGAGCTAGCCTTGAATACCTCCTCGCCAAAAAACCAAAACTAAGAACATCATATAGAAAGCGTGCTATTTGTCATGACCTTTGAGCGCGAAGTAGTTGAGGACGTAGTACTTATTCACGACAGCGATGAATATGGACTCTCTTAGTGCCTGATAGAGTTAGTACATTCCTAAACGGCGTTTTTACTAAAATGAGTTCTTTTCAACCTTCCCGTTACCTAAACGGCTATTCAGAGAGTGCATTATTAAGCGATAATGAGTTTCGACAATAACGTCTTATTATCGATGCTACCACCGATGTTTTATACGTTCTGCTCGAAGAACTTTTACACAGCAGTTCACGGTTTACACTTCTCTTGGCTATTATAGGTTTAAGTAAATTTGCTTATCTTCTTCTTCTGAAGAGGTTCTAGGGTCTATTGGTCTTTCTGGATCCTTATTAAAGCTGGCATCATTTATCTACGTTTTTGCTAGTAGACCGCTCTCATCCAGGACATCATGGATAAAAGATAAAGCTCTCGGCGTTGATTAATCCCTGACGGACGTGCCATGCATTCGACTTCATCAAGCATCGTTGGAGGTGATTGAGTGCATATCTGGCCTTTACAATAACTCGCGGTGGCCTACCTATGTATCGAGCCAGTGCTGCAATCCTTCCAGACAAATCTGTTACCAATTTGCCGGCCCTGGAGGGTTGGAAGGCTTGGTGGTCCATGGGCATGGGAATCGATTCCACACGTGTGTGGCAGTGGCGCCTCCAACCACTGCGCCACACGTGCCCCTAGGAGGACATCATGACTAGTTAAAAATCTAAGTAGACTACCAGTTAGAACAGTTAGAAGATAACTTGATTAAGCCCAGATTTTGAGCTGATCATACGTGAATTTTACACGTTTTCACAAATAAACTGATTGGATGGAAACCAAACAACCATAAAGATGTTGAGATATGCGGCGAAGTAGGGATTGCATGTAGGCTTCGAACCCGAAAGAAAGCAGTTTGTACCTTGACCGCGAGAAATGAATTCTGGTATCATTTGGGCATTTCTCGAGAAACGGATAATGGACTGTTATTTGGTCGTTCGTGTCCAAATACAATTTCATGTCGTTGTATCCTTCAATCATATACGACCTTGAGTCGGCAGCATGGTCGCATTATGCTTCGTAGACATCATAATGTCCTTATTATTCTTCCATTCGATTAACATTCTATTACTTTGATTTTGCCATGCTTCCAATTCTCCTCATCTGATCTCTTGTTCGCGAAATTGCTGCTTGGATAGTCTTTTTCTGTTTTTTCCGCATCTGTCAATTAAATCGATCTTCCTCTGAAGTAGGTTGCCAATTAGCAAAGCACTTATACACAAGTTATCGCTATACAAATGCTTGTCTTCTCATCTAGTAGATGCTCCACGAACCTCTTCGTCATTGATTCATCCATATTGCTTTTGATGGAAGTTTCCTTACCAGTATGCACAGTTATTTGCTGTGTACACCTCTTTATGTGAACAACTTGAACATTCTCACTTCATACTAGTGCCTCATTAGTAGGAAATATTGGTGTTGTGCCAGTTTCCCTCTAAATGACGGAAGGATTTCATGAAAGCAAACGCTAGTGCCAACTCTGTAGCTTTTCGCACATTCGGTTTACTACTTCGATTGAAAAAAAGGCTGAGAAACGGACCTCGTCGTTCGCATTCAAACATAAGATCAATCCCCGATTCATTGGAATTGTTGACCCAGTTCCCACCAATGATAGCCATAGATAAATGATAAGAGCGATAACCGTACTCCATCGATCACTCTCTAGTGGATACGCTGTGCATTTGACTCCATTCTTAATATCGTGGAAAGATTTGGATGCGGTTCAGTTCTATCGATTGATTTTCACTAACTTAACCATGTTCGAAACCAGTATTTTTTCCTTCCAGACAAGTCTAGTACAACTGTGGTAGGCCCTTAAGGTACGGCGGGCCTATTTACCCCGAGATTCGGAACCTAAAACACCGACAATGCGGGTATTGAGGGCTACTTCTAACCACTGCGGTGCATACCATATGGAAACCCGAGAAAAAATATTTCAGCAGAGCCGAACTCTCCGGAACGTCCAGTAGAGTCTTCCAGCTGGTACAACTTCACACATCTTTTGTAAACCACATTAGTGACACTATTTCCTCAATCGTGATAACGACGGAATAATTCACTCACTCATTCGTGAAGAAAAATCATGTATTATGCGAAGACATTATTATCCAACGCTTCGATCTTTTAAAGTAGTTTTGCAATTTTTTTCCACTTATAATCAGAAATGGTTGGCTAGCGTAGGGGTAAAGATGCTATTCATCACGTTCACGGTCGCCATTCAACTCCGAATCAGGCTCACTACACTTCTCATCCTTCCAGGTTGAAGAAATTTGTATAACATTTGCCTGAGAATAGCTACTTCTTTGCAATCAAAGTTTGAACGTTCCAAACCGGCTATTCTAGGACTCCAGGAAGATTCGTCTTGAAGAGCATTCAACGATATTCATGAAAACGATTATTCTCAAGCAGCAGTCGAATCCAAACGTGAAAAGTTTGAAAGCCTTTCTGGATGATGGATGCGAAGAAACGAATTGAGTACAGAAAGTCCTGTGATCCGCAGAGTATATGTGAAGACACGTCATAAAAATAGTGATATTAATGCATAATTGTTAGTAGATTGCTTCACTCAAACATGTCCCTAACGTCGCTACTGGATGAAAGTATTTAGCAAGTCTGCTTATCTTATGTTGTGATATGAAAACTGGTCAAAGCTTCCTGGAAATTTAAAGAAAATTTTTGCAGAATGCAACTTCTTACGCAACAATACGAGAATGACCTTCGCCTTAGCTCATGTCCATCAATGGCGCCGCGACCAGTCCGTCCAGTTCGTCGCTTTGAGAGGCACGTAGTGCTGCATCGAAACGGTTAGTTCCGCTCAGAGCGTCACAGTATTGATAATGTAGTAGTTTTGTCTTCATTGTGTAGTGGACTCAGATCGTTTTTACTGAAAACTGAAACAAACGCAGATATCACGTAACCCACAAACGACGTCTCTTATCTCTCTTTTTCTTTCTTACTCACCTCTGTAAATGGTAGAGTGTACCAGTAATTTGCTATGTCAAAAATTCGAAAACATTCATATGTACAGAATAGGGCTTTATAACACTAAAAACTACTGGTCAATGAAATCTTGTGTGTCAGAACATTTACTGAGGAGCAGAGTAACTATAAGTTATCATCTATATTGATCGTTAATTGAGATGCTCTCTTTCTAATCACACTGGACTTCATTCAGAAGTAGATTATGAGTTACTGGTAGTCAGCTGTTAAGCAACGAGTTTTAAAAAACTGTTTACACAACTGCTACATGCTTCACAGCAACTGACTATTCATTCATCTCGCAAACATTTTGTTGTTCATGTTTTTTCAGTTGTCTAAATTGCAGTTTCGGAGTGATTTTTTCTTCTTCTCAAACAATCTAATCCAGTTTCAGTTTGAATCATTCGACATTTCCTAGAATTCAGTTCGGCAACTTCATAATTTTATTTCGTAGTAACTAAACTCGGGCCGTTTCTCCAAGTCCAGCTTGGTGTCCCATTCCCTAATTTTTCTTTCGCTCCAATTAGGTTGGCTTCGAAAACACGAACATTCTTCTTCATTCTTCATCAGCGCTAGCGTTCATTCTCTCTTGTGCTGATCCTTGACGTAGTCGCGATGATTTGCATTGATTTCAATCTGTATAATGGTAAGAGGATGGTCGCCTTCGAGTTTAAATACGTATTTCTAAGCTCTTATTGAGCTTTATTTACTAGAATGGAAACGATTAGAATCTACAAGATCTTGGCCTACAAGATATAATTCCTTCATGTTATGCAGTTCTGATTTTCTACCACCACGAAGGATAATCTATCGTTTTTTTGTTTTACAACAAGGCTTGTATTTCGTAAGCGAAACCAGCTGAACAAGCGGCATTTCGTGCACTAGGGCATGACGTTGTTCCTCAGTATCGCTGGTTTTCGTGCCTTCCACGCTTTTGTGAGATCCTTTCGAAACTTAGATTTCCGTTTGAAGTATTTTGAAATCTCTAACTCTGAAGAAGTTTAGATTTAGAGCAATACTTTATGAAAGTAACAGATACTGTTAAAGTGTTAGAGAAAAGCTGTTCTCTAAGGCTGTACAGTTCTTAAATCCTCTAGACTTTTTAATTGATGATGAATTTGTGGTCTCTGTGGAAAAACCAGTTTCCTTTGTGAAAAATCTGCACTCTTTCCCTTAGTATTAAATAGCACAGTTTAACAGCTCTTTGCGTAAGGAATGCTGTGGTGGCTCACGAAACCAAGAAGCGACATGGCTCGCCTGCAGGTTATTTATGTAGGGTTCAACGTGAGCGAAAAGCGACCACATACTTAGCTTTACACGAATTCAGGGGTTGAGAGTGATACTTGCACTGTGACGGATTGATTTTCTTAGACGCAATTGTGATCCAGTAAGTACGTAGGTATGATTGAGTACATACAGAATCTGCTTTGTACTTCTATGAAGTCACTCAGAGGTGGTTCGGAATTACCTCAGACAAGCGACCAATACGTCTCTACTTTGGAACATCACGAAAAATTCATGAACATATCCAGTATTCACAGCAGATGCCAGCGGACTAACCATGGTTAAGATCTTGCCAAAAACTGTATGAAAGCGTTATACACAATTTAGTGCTCTGATACTTGAGAAACGTACAAATAAAAAAAATAGTTCCCAGGATCGACTTTCTCTTAACCTCGGCATTGGAATATGAATGTGTCGTTTTCTTGTTCAGCAATCGCGAGGTTTTTAAACAGCATACATTTACTTTCATAGAGAAACACAATACAATACAACACTAGATGACGTTTCGGCAGTATCGCCTTCTTCAGAGCCGCTTTTTCGTGACTTCCAATGAGGAGGATTAGAACAGCTGATTATAGTCGCATGTGGTTGACGACTGGTTGTGAAATAGGTTGTGCTTGTGAAATAGTGGCTTTTAAGAATGCCGAAGGGTTTTGTTTAACATCAGCCTAATTTGAAATTGTACATGTGCAAATATTTCGGAATTTCGATCGAACAGCGACAACGCGAGAACATGCTTCTTTGGCGCCATTGGTTAGCTAGTGCTTGGCAGAGTTCGATGACTAACTGGTTTAAAGATAACACTACGTAGTAACCGCCGTCACTTCACGTATTCATCTAATTCGAATGTTTTCTGTTTGCATATTACTCTTGGGAATTCGCCCATGTACACGTCACGCCGTTCCAGGACCATGGCGTTTTCACGACGAGGAGGCATCAGTGGCATCAGTCAGTCTATTGCGTACTCCAGAGGATCGATTCCGTTAGGGCCTCCTCCTCATTTCGAAATAGAGCGGTCATTGTTTACGTAGGAAACTTCCAACGAATAAATTTACTTGTCAGTAAAGATAACCAAAATTCCTATCACGTTATTCATAACGTAAAATTATTAATTAAGTATCTTCACTGAGTTGCTACTAGAAAATTCCTCTTCCTCTCCCATTCTAGTAGCTTCATTTACATGTTCACCAACTGTGCAACATCATTTCACAACTACAACTCTTTTAATTCTCACGTATTTGCTGATGATAATCCCAGTTGATTGCAAAATCATCTTCCAAGAGAATAACCGGTGTAGCTCACTTCTGTCTCGTTTCTTTCACTGACAACTAGCTCTCCTCAGAGACACCGACATTCCCAACGAAGGTACTGAATACTCCTCATCCACTGACGATCTTTCTGTAAGTTATTTTATCAGCGACGTTTCATTCACCTGGAAATTCATACTGTTTATTCGCTTTAAATAGTCAGTAAGATGACCGAATGCGACTTGGGATCTCAAAGCTTACCGTTACGGAATGAAGTTTTTACGGGATTTATGGGGCTTTTTACTCAAGTTTATAGAGTGTAGGACAGTCCGCGAAGTATCTGTACCACAAATTGATCGATCCACTTCATGATCCATTGAATTAATCAACCATTAAAACTTCTTATCTTCTCCGTTTTACACACCTTTGTTTCCCGATAGTAAGTAAGCGTGTTCTAATCTTTATATGGCAGAGTGTGCAGTGCAGTAACATTGGTTTACTGCCTCGTCATAACTTCGGATTGTACTTGTTGGTAAATCTCAGTGTACACCAGTGGGTTCATACCCTAACAGACCAAATTAAGGAGGAGTTCAATATTTTCATCCAGAAACCCAGATAATTTTGAATAGTACTAGGAACTGCTGCCATCCTGACAACAGTATAGTCAATACCTGGCAAGAGAGGTGACCTGAGATAGTCCTAATAGGGTTTTCGAAAATTTAGAGAGGAAATTTTGCCCAGTCAGCAATTTATCAGTCAAGTTGTGTGCTGAAGCAGACATGACTCTTCGTGATTCGTGAATTCGGGTCATTCAAATATTAAAGTGTTCGGGTTCTTGTCGGATATTTATTGACGACAACGGCTAATATGGTCGGCGCACATGGTTCAAGCACAGTGACACTACAGTTTCGTTTCAGTCCTTTCAAATAGCAGGTAGGGATCGGTCAGTATTTCGTTTCTATTGACCGATACTTTGCGTGATTATCGCTGTCTTCAGTAAAGTGATTGTCGCCGTGTTTTACACTGTGTCTTGTCAGTAAGACGGTGTCACTTTTATTTCCATATGTCTCCCATTACGGTGATGATGAACTATTTTGCAGAAGGGTGAAATGCTGGTCGTGAAATTTTGGTATAACTCATGATAAATCTGTAAGTATGAATCCTGTAACTATGTCATATAACAATCTTAAGATTGTGATTATAACTAAAGCCTCAGCTTAACTGGGTTCATTGCCGATTTGGGCTCCCCAGATCAATCCTGTTGACGGGTGATTGCTGATGGCAGAGATCGATAGGACTAGCTGAGAGACAGGCGAAACGAAGGACCCGCGTGGTGTGGTGCTGAACGCGTTACTCCCCCCGGAAAGGACAATAGCGCGTTCGTTCCCCACCGCAGACACCTGCGGTCCGGAGTTTTGCAAATATCTCAGCATCATTGAAGTTATGCAATAACAGTTATTACTAGGTAAAGTTTTCCTTCTTTCATTTCTTCTTGCGGTACTGCAGTGATTTCCGTAAAAGAATAATAGTCATCGTATGACTTGATTTGTTTTCTTGTTTAACACACACGACGTTGTTATCGTATTAAATTGATCCATATAGCTGTCGCTTCGTCGGATTTCGTCTTCTTCAGAGCCTGGAAAGGTAAAGTTAACCGCAACCTAGTCAGCCAATTGCATCCATAACCCTAACAGAAAAACGACAATACCTAATTTTCAGTAGCATTAGGTATAAACCAGTTTCTTCACACACTCGGCACTTTTTGTAAGTCTTTCGCTGAGTACTCTATATGGAGACCAACCGTCCAGAGCTCACATGCATATGTGATTGAGCCACTCTTTCGTTAAAATATCAGTGTTAGATGTTGTGTGAGATTTCTCGTGATAGTGAGGCATTCATGCCTATGGTTGATTTGTGGATTCTTGCAATTTCTCTTGAATCAACATCATAATTGCATAGTTTTGGAGTTAGTGGCTACCTAGGGCATCAGCTGGCATATAAACTGATGAGGAAGGCTACAGCAATTCATCATCGGTTCTCGCTCAGTGCGAAACCATCTGGATCGCGTTGTTGTACAAACGGAGCCAAGAAGAAATCGGTATCATCGCCCATTTATTCGAACGCATGGGGTCTGCAGATTCGTTGACTTACAGAAAGCCCTCAACCCTGTGAAGTCAGCAGTGATCATAGAATCTCAGCACAAGTCACATTCTTGCGAACTGCACTAAAGATCTCTCATTACCCATACAGCAACTTTACAGAGTTCTTTCGTTTCACAATTATTAGTCGAGATAAATAGTAAGCGCTGACAGTGTGATGCCATCTCGCATAGATTGTTCAGCGGGATTCTCAAGAACGTCGCCCGAAAAACCTGAACGGATTAAAATGGGAGTGAAAGTTGACGACTTGCAACTACTCTATTTTCTTTGATTTTCTAGTTACATCGTACTTATAACACTTAGTATCAAACACGAAGAATAGCAACTGATAACCAATTTCAACTGCACTTGTATAAAGACCGGTCGTCGTTCTAATCTGAAGTAAATAGATGCTCTTGAGAAACAGATTCGTGTCTGGTAGCACTTTTGATCAAGGAAGGCGTTTAGCGTAGTGGTTGTAGGTGTTCTGCGATACATATGGATACATACATGGTCTTTGGTTCGATGCCGAGCCTTGGGCTTGGCAAGCCTTCCATCTATGACGCTTTTGCATATCCAGTTGAGGGGATGACTAGTGCAAGACAAATGGATGTTCGATTGAGAAGATGACTGAGCAGTGCAAGGATAAATGTAGTTGCCAATAAGTATAGTTAATGTAGGAGACTCTACAATAACATAGAGAATAGGAAGTATTCGGGAAATAATTACTATACCAGACTTGTTTGAGAGAAGAGTAGTACTAACTTGGTGCAATGATAGGCCACTGGAAATCATTGTATAGGTCAGATATGCATCCAACCACCTTTTCGATGCTACAAATGGAGTTAAATGCGTGGCGCATCCTTGAGGGATTGATTAGTGCCGAGAGATTTATCCTTATTTTTGTATCCCTTTCACACTCAACGAAGTAAATGCTGGAGAAGTCAACCTAATGAATGACCAGAGCTAAGTCACGAGGAAATGAGCAGTTTGAAGTTGTAAAAGATCGTCAGGGTAGTAAGACGACAAGAAACAACTGTCTCTGTTCACATGTTCTCGATTCCCCGCTCGTTAGAACTTTAACGTACGCCTTGAGAACCAAGGCGGTATCTAATCGGAGTGAAAAATCAGTTAGTATTATCGAACACATTATCAGGAGGGTAATGATTGATAGAAGTGAACAATTCTAAGTCAGAGAGAGGATCCAATTTTGATCCCAGAACCACGTCGATAATTGGAGATGAAGGACACCACCACATTTCTGACATGTCTTCGTGAACGAGTGAATCTCAAGTGATCTTAAGCCCGCAACATGAAGCGTTGCTCTTCAATTGTTATTCCTCATGCCTGATGGATGTGAAGGTTATACTCTCTCGAAAGATTCCTGGAAGAGAACTGTAATGGCCCTCTTGAACGGGAAAAGGTGGGACAACTCTGCCATGCAGTAGAAATGAATAGAGGCCTTAATAGTCTCACTTTGAATTACTTAGCGATTAACGGGATTACAGGTGACAGGTAGTACGAGCAAGTTCTAATCATTCAGAGGCTTAGTGGAAGTCGGTCTTCAAGATGTTGATTGCTACGTTAAGTGCAGCAAGTGGTCTACCTGCCGACTGCTATAGGACGCATCTTCCACCAAAAAGCAGATGATCATTGGCGGTATGCCGGGAATCGGACAGCGTGCGTACTGTCACATTGCCGATTGACATTTTTGATTCGATCGGTGTTCCGTCTGCTGCTCCTACAAACACCCCTATAGCCCCGACAACGACCAGCATGGGAGCATCGACTTGGAATGAAGACGCTCTGAAGAGAAGGTGCCAGAACGTGTATTAACCTGTTGTTAGCTAGGAACTTCATGTAGAAAATTATCCATACAAGTACTTGTAGATAAGAATATACGAAGATATTAGATATCCCGCATTCATTATGTAAAATAAAGGAGTGTAGCCTTGACAAGTGATGTTAGCCGTGAACTCAAACTCCTCGTTCGGCGCTCCAATCGAAATCAGATGTCCGCGTAGAAGGCGCGAAAAACAGCAATTCACTTGATGAATGAGTTTTGGCTGCGTGAAATTGAGTCGTTTCTTTGAAAGTCGGTGTTCGTCGACGTTTAATTCTTTGTGTTCCATCCTGAAGTGGCCGTTCTTACTTTCGGGTGTTCTGTTTGTTTTCTGTATGGTAAGTTTGGTTAGGATTCTGGAAACAGCTGTGATTTTTCGCATTTGCGCTGAAATCGTACTTCATGTGAAGTTTCCCTACTGTTTTTTTTACTCGGCTAAAGATTTTCTGCCGTCTTCAGGAATCTCTCTAAAGTGATACTTCATTCATTCAGTTAGCGATGTTTCGAGTGCCGCTGCTTCCTGGTGATAATGGTAAGTTGGACATGTTTCATGACCCTTTTATGTATTTCGTTTCCAAGTTCGTTTTCGCATATTCTCTCAGGTGTCCAACCTTATTTTGTCAAATTGAAAGCAACCACGAAGCCTTCTACCTGAGTGAGATTGCGAAAAAGCCTATGTTTTCTATATACTCCATGTTTTCGAAATTTTCATTCAGTACTTTGAGTCGGCACAGATTTGTCATTACTGTTCTTACTTTTGCCCTGTCGCTAATCAGTTTTATATGGTACGGGATTAATCTGGGTAGTACCCTTTACAGTTGATTCCTCTGTACGATAAACAATGCCTATTCGAAGAGTTAAATATCCGTGAATACACGGAGTCTCGAGATAGTCTGCACCAGGGTTTTTCTGGAACACACGCATCCACGACAATCCGATGAACCATTGAGGAGATAAGCCTTGAATTCTTTGGTTGTTCTGAATTCTACACTCTGTAATTCATTAATTACTCGTTGTCATCTCATTCTGATTTTCTGGCTCTAAAAGTAAGTAAAAGTGGTATTCATTGGAATGTCTCACGCTTCTTGAAATAACAGGTTGATTGAAAGCAAGTATGTTTTCTTTGCTTGCTTGTTACTTTTGTCACCAACACCTAGGAGGTCATGCGTTTGTACACTATCCGTTTTACTTCTTCAGATTTCTTCGATAAATCGACGAAGAGTATTCTTTAAGGCTCCCTATACGGATGAATTTTTTACCGGCAATAACTGACATTCAAAAATTAATTCCCACAACCGACTTTCTATTAACCTCGGCACTGACCAGATAGTTCTCGATACTCTTGCTGAGCAAACATGAGATGTTACTTCATTCTTTATTCCGTTAAAGCCGACGCTTCAGCGGATTTCGCCTTCTTCAGAGCCTGGAAGGGTATATTGATAGGCAATTTACTAAGTCAAACGCTCCGATAACACATACAGAAAGATGAAGATCTAAATCGCAATAACACGATTAACAGGTTCTCGAAAAAACCTACTGTTTATTACGTGCCTTCCACTGAGGAAGAGCAGCTGATCAGAGTCGCTCTTGATCGTGTGATTGCGACTTAGATTTTCATCTTTCTGTATGTGTTATCGGAGCGTTTGACTCAGTAAACTGCCTGTCAATATACCCTTCCAGGCTCTGAAGAAGGACCGAGAAGTCTTGATAGATGACTTTTTGAGGCTTTTTTTTACTATCATGTGACATCCACACTTACTGTCGCATAAACTTTTATGAGGATTGACCTCTTTTCAGTTTATAATGTTTCTATAAACTTAGATTCCTTAAAGCTTTGACCTTTATTGATCTCTTAGCATTTCGTTTACGACTGCAATGATGCTGGGACTAATAAAAGTGGGTAAAAACTCAAAACCTCATGTCAGCTCAGCAAGAGCGGTTCGTAAGTGAAGTGAAAGTTATATATTGTGATTTCTAATATAGCCTGAGCTTATGTGGGTTCAATGCCGATTTAGGGTCTCCAGATAATTCCCGCTGACGAGTGATTGCTAATAGCACCGTTACAGTAAAAAAAAAAGCGGGCTAGGAGCGAAGTAAAGCAAGGGCACATCACTGGTGCAGTGGGTAACACATGAGCTCTTAGAAAGGATAATCACGGGTTCGAATCTCACATGCGGTTTGAGTTTTGCAAATCGCTCGGCATCATTGTGCTTATACTTCACGCTATACCTTACCATGAAAAAGTAATGGGGTGAAGCTCAAAGCTTTAAGGCTGTCGGCTCGATTTCGTTAAGCTCACTTGGACGCGACTGAATGCATATCTGACCTTTAAAATGACTCGGGGTGGCCTCTCGATGTATCGAGCCGTTGCTGCTATGCTCTCAGACTGTTCTGACACCAATTTGGCGATCCTGAGGGAATGGAGAGCTTGGTGAGCCTTGAGCGCGGAGATCGATCCCATGTGTACTGAAGGGCGCCTCCGACCACTGCGCTACACGGTGCCCACCGAAAGTTATTGTACAGGCCAAATATGCATTTAATCAAATATACGATGCCAGGAATGGAGTCAAAGGGAGTAAGGTGTAGGCTTGACCACTGTCAAAAGTTGTTGAAATTAATGGTTAGTAAATAAAAAAACTGTAAAGCGAAAGCTAAAAGCTTACTCATTAGACGATTGAGGTTGAAAGGTATGATGAACTGAAAATCTTCAGTAGATTATACGAATACAGTTGCTAATAATGTTGCTTTCTGTTTTCTGATGTTATTCCATAAATTTCATGAAGCATACCAGCGGTGAAATTAATCCTGTGAATCTCTTTTTTGCTATTATTTTTGTTTTTATTATATGCGATAAATAGTGGAAGCGAAATGCCAGCGAATCAGCTCGGGGTTGTATTTTTGTCCGTCACATTAAGAACATCTCAGCTTTTCATTACTGAAAATATTGGGATATATTTAGTATTTCAGCAGCTTTTTAGCCCTCATGCACATATCTTGATATTTTGATATTTTAATATTGTTTTTAACTGGAAATTTATTCACTAATGGTTTTGTGTTTACCTGCTTCACAGGTAACAGGTTTATGTACAGTAGGTGAATTCGATCCACGTTGACTATGACCTCAGTTCGTAGTTTGTTATTTTGGTTTTCGTATAGGTTCAGTAGCTACAAGTGAAACTAACCCATGGAACATAACGTTGCCGTTTTAGAGCCAGTTTTAAAGTCAATTTGGTCGAATTTAAGCATTAAAACCTTTTGCAAATCGTCGTTTCCAAGTTTTTTGAGCAAACCAGAACTATTGTGTTTTAACCAGTTGGTTGCGACTAATAGTAGCTATTGCACGTGAGTTCCGTCCCGTCGTATTACACAGTCGTTGTAATACTAGAAGATTTTCCACTATATGGGATATCAGTTTTTCTACTATATGAGATCTTCCGTACCCTCTTAGACACCTATTCGAATCACTGAACTAACCTCTCGTGGAAAACTAGCGTGTGGTAATGTGTAACAACAATTTGGGACTCAATCTAATTTTAGAGAAGAAAGAAACGGAAACTGAAAATCGAACGGTTCTTTTTAAAGTTCATCGTCCTATTTGTTACTGGTCCTAATGTTTAGACAAAGGCAAACTCAAAAAAAGGTTAACACTTTTGGTACTTCTATTTTCTGCTCGTTCTATGTTTCATCGAGTTTTTCAAATTGATCGCTTTCAAGTACTTGTAGAGTTTTAGCATTTGGTATGTGGTTGATTTAGATACATATCTAACAATGTGCTCTTTAACAGCATAATAAAAGTCTGGGAATCTTCCTAATTCTGTTTTGTTCGGGTGGAGTTACGTTCTTGTAGTCTGTCATATTTGAAAACTACCTTTAAAATAATGTCCAGTAATTTCTTAATTCAAACTTTTCAAGGCCGAACAGCTTTTTGTGCTTCGCTGTTTTTCGTTCATTCTGTTGTTTGTAGCAACGTCGAGGGTGTTAGAGACTGACACCATCCATCGATAGGTCAGCAGCTGTGGTTTGAATCTTACCGGTTTCCGGATGAAGTTTTCAGACGATGTCCAAGTTTCCCGTCGTTTATCATCATTCGGTTCCTGATAGAAGTCTGTATTATCTTGCTATTTGACGAGTATCCGAAAAACTATATCGACTTACTGCTATCCCGTGCTTTACTGTGTACAGCTTTGGTTGCGATTTTGTAGTTCATCTTTGCAGTGCGTGCTGTGCTAACATAATTTGCTAGTAAGTAAAAACTTCTGAAATAGACGCACATTATTTAAACAACAAGTTGACAATTTGGACCTGTTTTTCAACTATACGTTTTCGGATTCAGTTCAGTCAGCAATGCAAATATTTCCGTTCAGTAGGGCTATGTATGTGCGCGTCAGTGTGTGTATGTGAGTGTGTGTGTGTCGGCGTGTGTGTGTGTGTGTCGGTGTGTATGTATGTGTTCCTCTACACTGGTCGGAGTGTTCATCTTGATGTTTTTCTCTGATGATTTGGTGTGGTGTGGAGAGATGAGGGGTGACGGACGTACGGATCGGCTGGATGGTTTGATGGTCACCCACCCTGCATCTCTCGCGCCACCACTGCCTTTTCCATGGTGGTGGTGGTTGTGGTGGTGGTGGTGGTGGTGTGGGACGGGCAATCAATGTGACAAAGACATTTCCCGCATACTGCAGTCCTATTCACTTCCTCTACGGTAATAACTGGGTTAGCATGTAAATTACTGCTTTCATGAAGGTTAATGAAGTTTACAGTGATACGCATAGGTTTCGAAATATCTCCGAACTTAATAATCTAGACTTTAAACTGAACAAAAATGTTTTGAGTAGCTTGTCAGTATGCTTACTGGAAGCTTAGCATCCTCATCTCCACGTTGGTTTTCACATTCCTCCTCAGTTTTCTAAGTTTTCTGCAATTTTACATAAGACTTGTGGTTCCTTTCACGATGTTCTGCAGAATTACTTTACTGCATATTGTGTTTTCATCTTTCTAGGTCTTGCACTAATTCACTGTTTTTCTTGATAACCAAACACGAACTTGTTACAACAGCATTTATTAGTTCACAGTAGGTGATGTATCGGGGTTATGGCTTTCTTCAGAGCCTTCAGAATCAAGTTGGCTTGCAATCCATTCAGTTAAATACTTTGATAGCCTCAGCAGATGGAACTTAACACATAAATTTTTATTCGTTTAATAAACAGCTACTTTTGAATACCAGCAATTTAATCTTTCTGAGTCTTCCAGTTCTTTAATTGAGATTAGCCGCAGAAGAGAGTTTCCACATGAGTCAGGAATGTGTCTGGGTCAGGCCAATGAATCAGCCTGAGGTATGGAGCGAATCCACTCTTTTACTTCAAAATCTGTTACATTTATGTGTTCTATGCCCACTCAGTGGTGTATTTCGTTTAACTCGGAAGTTTACCGATTAGATGTTCTTTTATACGGGCGCACGGTGGCCTACCCATTTCGCCAACGTATTCGTCCCCACACGCTTTACAAGAGATCAAATAAACCGTGTTCGATCGCATGCAGTCAGCATTCTTACCGTTACGGAACGAAATCACAGAGGATAGAGCTCGAGGCGTTGATCAGCCTCTGAGAGATGCACCGTGCATTCAAATTCAAGTATCGTTAGAGTTGACTGAGTGCATATCTGACCTATACGTTGAATTGCGATATCCTACCGATTTATCGAGCCATCGCTGCTGTTCTTCTAGACCGGTCTAGTACCAGCTTGCCATTTCCGGTTGGACAGAAGACTTGGTTATCCTAGAGCGCGGGATCAAAACCATGTGTTTTGCAGGGCACCTGTGACTACTGCGCAACACGCGCGCCATAACCTTTGGGAATATTATGCAATTTTGCATTGTGCATAGAGGTCATACAGGCGGTAACGAGCTAGTTGTGGTCTGAAAATGTTCGCTGGTGTTTTAATAACTGTTACCCAGTTCTCTAGATCGGTTCTTTCTAAGGAATGTTTTATAGCTGTACTTATTTCGTTGGAAATGAAGGACAGAATAAACGGGACCTTATTCTTGATAGAATTGTCATGGTGACCTGCATTTTTCTCTACACCTATCCCGAGTTGCTACGGTTTCGTAACAGTTGGAAATGGCTATTCGCTTCACCAATTTGAGGGATTCCTCCTTCTGCTCTCTCTGCACGCGTTGGTGGATACCCGGAGCATCTTTCTCACACTTCCTTTTTGAACCCATATGTTTTGATCCTTATAGGCTCTGGAGAAGATGAAACCGCCGGCAGGCCAGCTATTGTAAATTAATAAATGCTGTAATAACAACTTCGTGTTTACTTATCAAGAAAATTAGTGAATTGTTGTTCAATACCTAAGAGAATCGGTCCCGTGACATATTGCACTGATACTTCAGCGGTTTCATTTTCAGGATTATAGGCGAAAAGCTCTTTAGGTGATGAATATAGTTCTCAATGTTCTCTGCATTAGTGATGTGCTCTGAATAGGGATGTTATTATAGAGAAGCAGAATGGTATCTCTAGTATTAGACTGCTTTTGGTCAGAATAAAACGAAAGCGTTTACTACTCAATATTTGTATAGCTTTTCAAATGGTTGTGATTTGCAGGCGAAGCTGATCAAGAAAACCAAGTACGACACTCCGTTCTGAGTCGTGGCTCAAGCATGCCAGCGCAAAAGCGCGTTCCTCCTTCAGTGAAAAATGCTGGTTTGTTCTTTTCGTCTTCCCTTAATTTATACTTTTTTTGGCTAAATTTCTGCTAGTTTCATGTCTTGTCACCGACTTTACGATGATGTTTTTTACTTCTGATGTTGTATTATGGATAATTTATTTCTCGTAAAGAGTAGAGTTGTAATTCTTTTATAAGCTTTGCTTTGTCACTCCTAGGTTTAATTGTTTTTTTTGGAAAGAATCACTATTTGTTTGGATTTTCGACTCTTTACCCTCTTTAAAACGGAGCCTTCGAATTCATTCATCGGGAAGAGTGACATTTTCACTTAAGGTTTTTTTTTGTGTAGGGACGACTTTTATCATTTGACGTGTTTTCGCTTTCGTTCCTGCCTCAAGACTACTAAGAAAGAGACATTTTATATAGTTAAATGTATTGGTAAAGCCAAGCCTTGATGTTCCTCACTCATTTCATTTGTTTGTTTTTCAGTAAACTCCACGGGAGCAGTAAACGAGGAGGACTTCCGGAAAGCTTTTACCCAAGTACCAAAGTGTGGTGTATGTTGGCATGTCTTTTTTCACTTTGAAACTAATATATTTATTTTCCATTTAGATATATTCATCAAAAGAACTGTTATCACAAATGGAGTCGATACGCAAAATTTTGGAAAACGTTCAAGGAGATTGGTCACAGCGTGTTAATTCGGTAGGTTAAGGCCACGGAACTCTTCGATGTTTTTATTTTCTTTCAGCGGAATCGTCGTGTAAGGTGTTATCTTTTTATTAACTTACTATGTTTGGCGAAGATAGTCTTTGGACGTGAAGTCCACTTTTTCAGTTAAAACTGTTGCGTTCTATTTTAATAAATGGCGGTATGGATTACGAAAGCGAGCTGTTGTCAAGCATTAATTCATTGGAAGATGCGCTGCTAACGTCGGTGAAAGATCTTAGGTCGCAAGTTTGCCGCGAAGCCTGCATAACTGTAAGGTATGTTTTTAATATCTAGCTAGGAACAGCTTTTGTTTAACATGTTTTTTTCCTTCGGAGATAATTCATGTCAATATCCTAGAGTTTTTTGTATTACAACCACAATATTGCTGAGATGTTTGCAAAACTCCGAAAAAAAACAATAAACTAAACAGAAAAAAGTAGAAAACTAGCTGAGTGAGAGGCGAAACGAAGAATCCACATGGTGTGATGGTGAACGCGTTACCCCTAGGGAAGGATAGTGGCGTGTTCGGCTCCCATCACAGACACCAGCGCTCCGGAGTTTTGCAAATATCTCATCATCGTTATGGTTATGTAGGTACGTAGATATAAGTTGTCTTATATTTAATTTCTGTGCATGTACACTGTTTCAGCTTTCTGTGTGAAAAGCTGGGAGTATCGGTCGTAAGGCTCTGTGAAGCACTTTTACCGGCAACCATCGGTCTTATCCCGAACAGCGCGAAGATCATGTCCACATCGGGAATAACCGCGTCTCATTTCATAGTGAAAGTGAGCATCACAACTTTTGGTTTTTGTACAATGTCTCGTATTTTATGGTGTGTTTAATAATTTATGCTTTAAAGCATGTGGAACATCCGAAAATAATTGCAGTAGTTCTTTCGTATAGTTCGTCGAAAGCAAAGGAAATAAGAAGGTACGTCGCCGTGTTCATTTCAGTTCTCTTCATTTTCTATTCGATGTTTAGGAGGTGAGTGACTGCAAAGTTTTTTCAGAATAATACAAGATCTAATTGGTGAAGCGATCTCCATTTGGGCGCCGTCCAAACTGGAAAAATCGCTTAGCGGTATCTCTGACTGCATTAAGGTATGAACTTTTTTGGATCATTATGAAAAGGATAAAGCTCTCGGCGTTGACTAATCTCTGGGGGGTACGCTGTGCATTTGACTTCATTAAGCATCGTTTGGAGGTGATTGAATGCATAACTTGCCTTTACAATGATTCGAGATGGCTTACCGATGTATCCAGTCAGTGCTGCTTTCCTGCCAGACAAGTCTGGTAGCAGGTAGTTTGCCGACCCCGGAGGGATGGAAGGCTTGGTGGTCCATGGGCGCGGGCATCGATTCCACGTGTGTGTTGCAGGGGACCTCCTACCACTGCGCCACACGCTCCCTTGGGTCATTATATCAGTATTAATATACTTCAACTTTCCATTGATGCTAAATGTATCTAACGTATGTATGTACCTATATATTTTCTCTATTGCTATGAGGAATGGATTCCTATCCTATCACTAGTTTCCGCTTTGTGATCTTAATTGCATACTTTAAACACCCTCATTTTTAAAATTTTCCGTAGTCGAGTTGAATAAGCTACCAGTATTGAAACGCTTGGTTTTTTATCAACTGCGTCACCAAGGTTTAATTTCTTCTAGTTCAGTAGACAGGTGTTATGGGTTTTTTATCCGAAAACGTAATAAATAAGAGTTTTATGAAGAATCTACGAGGCCATTAGGAAAATGAAGGTACTGAAACGTCAGCCGAATAAAAGTTTTATAACATCCTCATATAGGCTCATGACTCGTAGGCAACATTATTCATTATTCACTATTCATACCGAGGTAAAATCAAGTGAGCTTTTCAAAATTACAACAGGTGGTCATTAATAATAAACGTTTCATCTGTCCTGAGCCTTCTGTATTTGGAAATACACTTCCGAGTTTGTTTGGAGATTGTTGGATTCCTTTTGTATTGTTTAGGCAGGTATTGGTGATGCGGATGCCCAAGCCCGTGCATCAGCGAGGAACAGCTATCAGCACTTAGATCAGCATTATCCTCACCTAGCCCAATTGCTTTTTCAGGTTAGTATCTGGACTGTTTATAGTGCAAATAAACTTTTTCTTGTTTACAAGTATAACTTTGCTTTTTGGCTGTTCACTTTTAGAGAACATTTCAAAATCGGCCACTGAACACTTTATGTTGTGGCTGTAGAGGCATACAGTTTATGTAGGAGATTAATTTTATTGTTTCCAGAGTTTGGATCACTCGAGGCAACGTTCGCTGTCCGGCGCAATATCGGCCGCTTCATCATCACAGTCAGTCAACAGCGAACGCGATTCACTGAATATGGCACATAGACCTGGAGCTTTTGGTTTGAATAGACCGCGAAGTTGGTTCACATACGGTCACATCTCTATTTCTTGACCACTATTGCTTAAGGACGTTATCATTACAGCAACAAATTTCTTTGCCGGTCGCTCGGCTTCGGAAATTGATGCGAACGCGGTTCGTCGAGCTGCAGCATTCAGTCCAACAAAAAGTAAACTGGCTGGATCGGCGGCAGTACGAAATACTCCAGGTTCGTCGCGAAACTGTTTTTCTTCACCCACCCTGTGGACTGTTCTTTTCTCATTAGTCATGTCTGGAGTCAAATTCTCGGGAAACGTTTTTAAATAGCATTCTATTCATACTGATTCAAATGCATATGTAGGCAAAAATGTTTTTATCGATGTCTATGCGATGAGTTGCTTTTCGTAAATACTTCATCTCCTTATGTGCTCTAGTGACTAGTTATCGAGAAGTTATGAATCTTATTGGAATACCGTGACAATTGCAAATGTGTTCACTTTAGCGCGTCCGAATGTCGTTCGCACTGGAGTTCCACCTCGGCAGAAACCTCTGAAAAGTAGTAACTCGGCGAATCCTCCCGGAAGCGTTTCACAGCGTGAGTTTTGTTACACATTATGTATTGTGTACACTCGGGTTAGTTTTTCTTGTCGGTTATTACACGTTCCAGCTGGATCACGAAGTACGTCACCCAGTCGTACAACGGCCAATCGTAGGGCTCAGCCATTTGTATCACCACAGTCATCAACATCGTCCAGCAAAACAGCAACTGGGATTGGTAGGCCACGTCAGATAGGGACCAGAGAAGCGAGTCCGAGAAGATGTCAGTGGCCAGACACTGCTTCTGTCGTGTTACAGTTATATTTCTTTAATTCTTATATCTTACTGTGGAAGAGGCTAAGGACTAAATAATTAGAAAAGAAAATCAAAAGGTTTCTTTTTTGTCTTCTACTCTTCCATTGTAATAGTAATATCATTTTTTTAACTTAAAAATGTTTGGGTAAGAAGGGCGCGTGCGGCGCAGTGGTTGGAAGCGCCACTACGACACACACGTGGAATCGATCCACATGCCCATGGCTCGCCAAGCTTTCCATCCCTCTGGGGCGGGCAAATCGGTACCAGACTTGTCTGGGAGGATAGCAGCACTGGCTCGATACATCGCTAGGCCACCGCGAGTTATTGTAAAGACCAGATATGCATTCAATCACCAACGTTACTTAATGGAGTCGAATGCATGGCGCATCCCTCAGGAATTGATCCACGTTGGGAGCTTTTTTCTTTAATAGCAATTCATTTAAAAGCCAATGAATCTCAGTGAATAACATCTATGAGCAGATGGTTACTTTACTTACTTATTTCATGTTTTTTAATCTTTCTTGAATATTCTTTGCTGCGCTAGTTTCGCTAAATATTAGTTTAGTCTCTTCAGTATCTTTAATTGGATTTCCATACGTACTGTTGTGTGGGTTTTTATGAGTATCAAGACGGTCAGCCTGGTCTTGGACGCGTCTAATTCTATGCTAAAATCGGTCTCTGTGAGCTAGTTCTTGCCATTGGTTCTCAGCACAACGTCGTTTGTTCATTTTGGAGAATACAATGTTTGGGTGTTAATTGGTTTGGTGAAATGAAACGCTGCAATAAAGTGAGAAGTGATATCAGTAAAGAATCTAGTTTTTGTGAAGGCTGTGTGCATAAGGAACATTTGAAAATACGTCACGTCTGAGTTAGATTTATTTTAGTACAACCTGAAAATCGATACGTATCATATCTCCTCTATTATTGCAGAATCAGTAATTTCCTACATGGTTTAGTTATTATAGAGCTCTATTTTGTCCTCTATTTATGCTTAACGAAAAGCTTTTTTTCAGTCACTACTCCAAATCATGGAGCCGGTTCAAATGGCCATGCTGCTGTTTCAGACACGCGACAACTGTGTAGTGCAATTGTGAGTAGTTTTCATGGTTATAAAAATATTTCTTAGAATTGGTATTCATCAAATAATGCTGATTTCTATTAGGTGCATGACTACAAAGGGTTTTTTGTCCTGGAAGTGATATGTGAAGTCAAACATATAATCGTCAAATTCATAAGTGTTAATTGAGTATCCCGTCATCACGAAAAATCATCTTGAGTCCGGTATACTTCTCAGTTATCTTCTATCTTGTTGGTGACAATGTTTTTCCCTGAATTTCCAGCCAAAGCGTACCTATTTCGCTTTACGAGTAAAAACTGGCACTTGTGAATTTGAGTGAGGTTTCTCACCTCGCAACCAAATTTTGTCCACTGCGATTATTTTCGATGGCGTTAGTTTATCAATAGCAATACTGTTGGATGAGTTTTTCGAACATCCTTGCTTGGAAAATGTTGAAGTTTAACTTCAGATCTGCATCATAATCAACAGCGAGATACAACCCTATGATGATGACACTTGATTCTGTAGCGAATTTATGTCCATGTCTAGGAAATTCTCTTCTGAGCTTGATTTTTCCAGTGACCTTTAGGAATCGTGGAATGAATCACAGTTAAAAGATTTGTTCGTATTGGTTCGCCCATGTGTTTCACTTTATTCTTACATTTTTAGAAGAACTTCTCCTTGAACGCTGACGACAGTGATTTTCCTGCTGGCGTTATCAGGTGATTTCGGTTATTTATGTTGAACTAAATAGAATAAACTAGGAACTTGCGACCCGGCTTCTTCCACCAACACGTTTCTTGACATCGTTTTGCTCCTAACTTAACTACTGTTTGAGAGCGTCGTACTTCTTATGAATGGTCCTGTTGAGAAACAAGCTCATGACATACTGAGTTTGAACATGTTTGATCTCTGTATAAGTCGAAAAGTATCCTTAGGCGCTGTTCGTTTTTACAGTTTGTACTCGAGCTCTACATTGTTTCTATTAATAAGAAGCAAAGTATTTAATTAGTACAAATTAACGTAAGGCTTTACGGCTTTACGCATATCTGGGAAGTGTGTTGCTAAGCCCTTTAGTTTGTATTTGCTTGGCTAGGATAAACTTGACTAAATGTGTTGGTACTATTCACACCAGATCATATTCTTTCGATGCGGAATTGTTGCTCACTCAGGTATGACCAAGCCGAGTTAACAGATGCCTTGGCTGCGTGCTTGTCGGTGAACCTCAACGAAAGAAAGGGTGGACTGCGGTCACTACTCGAAATTCTTAAGTGAGGACGTCTTTCCCCTTTTTACCAGTTACTACTGAACTTAACGAATATATTTATTTGTTTGAAGAGTGCAGAAACTCCTTATAGAACCCTCTGCATTATCTCTCATCGTCAGTTGAGGGAAAAAATACATTTTCAGCGGATGTTAGAATAGCCGTTTCTATATAGTAGTATTGGTTTTCTTTATCATTTTCGTAGGGTGCGACGAAATCTCCAACAATTGGAAATTAAGAAGGTTTGTGACGTCCTCAGTAAACTACTCACTGAAGGAAATCACAAGGTTATTTCGCTTCTGTCGACTTTTAATGTTTGTTTTTTTTTCTTGCATATTTCAACCCTTTTTCCTACTTATGGTGATTCATCTGGTTTTTCAGCTAATGCAAATATTGATGGATATTTTAAATGTCTTCGTATCATCATATCACGATAACCTTGGAGATTGGTTGCAATTCTTGTTACTGAAACTCCTCTATAAGAGCGGCGTCGAGATTCTACCCACACTTGTGGTAGGTGTTATGGTGTTGTTTATAGTGTTATGCATAATGTACTTCCTAAACGTGTTTTATTTCTTACTTTGTTTTTATTTAGCAACCCCTTAATATGGCGCTAAGAGCTGTTCGAACTACCTTCCGTCCAGAGCTTCAATTGATAGCCTTATGCAAAAATATTCAAGATCCTATTCAAACACCACCGCTAAAGGTGAAGTATCTTTGACATTAATTCTACTATTTCTTTGATAGTATTTTTGTGGAGTTTCACGCTAGTGTAACGTGTTACCACTTGTCGACATTACGTTATTGGTTCTTTTTCTAGGTTAAAGCTGCTACCCTGAACTATCTGCATGAACTTCTGCAAGGAATGGAACAAGGTTCAAGTCTTGCACGCGATGAAATTCGTGCAGCCGTGCAGAAAATTTTCTATTGGATGGAAGACCCTAAGAAGGCAGCCATAAAAGTTGTAAGTAGTGCTCCGTCAATGTGCAAATTCTTTTTGATAGGTTGCGTAGTTTGCCTCATATTATTCTATATAGTTTTATATGCTTTGAAAAAGGCTATATCGCAAGAGTATATACTGAGCAGATTACTTAACAGTAATGAGATTCGAGGGCGCGTGCACCGCAGTGGTCGGAGGCGCTACTGCGATACACATAGGGTCGATCCCCGCGCCCAAGGCCCACCAAGCCTTTTATCCTTCCGAGGTCGGTAAAGTCGGCAAACTGGTGCCAGGCTTGTCTGAGAGGATAACAACACTGGCGCGATACATCAGTAGGCAATCGTGAGTCATTATAAAGGCCATATATGCATTCAATCACCTTCAACGATGCTTAATGAAGCCAAACGCATGGCGTATCCTGATTGATCAACGCTGAGAGCTTTATTCTTTCTTTAGTGAGCTTCGGCATAGTAAATACATGTTCATGTACCTTTTTACGAATCGTTAATAAAAGCTTTGGGTATCTTACATACTGTAATTTCTTAATTTGTGAACGGAATTTAGGGCCCTTTTGTCACACCGTAGAAGAAAATTTAAGCATAGTCGAAAACTTCAGTGCTTTTAGATGTTTTATGACACTTTTCATGTGTTCGATCGTTGTTTCAGGCTTGCGAACGTGTAATATATGACTTCTTCTCTTTAAACACCGCCGATTTCTCTACTATACTGTCAGATTATCCTCCACAGTGGAGAGAATTCGCGTATAGCTTGCTTAAAAAGAATAAGCCCAGGTAAGTAAGGGTATAACTTGTTCACTATGTTTTCTTTTTAATGCTGTCAATATTTCCCTTGACCGTTACTACTAACTGTTACGGAGTAAACTCACGAGGACCCTATCTATCATCTCTTCTCATATCTGTCACTGAAGTTTGTAATGGTTTAGTGGAATAAGAGGTATTTGCTGAACTGTAAACCATCATTTATGTTTAACAGGTCTAAAAAGTTGCCGACAAAAATGTGCTACCTCTCATAAAACATATCAAAGAAGCCTGGTAGTGTAATGCTTGTTTTAGTCGTTTAAATACAGAAATATTTGAAAATAGAGCGCAAAGGCTGTTTTTATGGCATCTGTAATAGGCGAAAAGGTTTTTGAAACCATTAAACTTCTCATTCGAAACTGTAACGGAGTGCTAAAAGCTTTGTGCTTAATTTCGCAATTGCTTATGCGTGGAAATCCGTATTTTTCACATTGCTTTTCGAGTCGAAGGTGCTTGAAATGAATAGAGATTCACTCCTCGTTAGATCTTTGTTTGACTGCTTTTCCATAGCTTATCGCTTCATTGGTCCCACATCTGCTTTCTGTCGACTACTTTGTTGTATAGTTATACACGAACTGAGACAGTTAACAGTACACTTTCGCGATATTAGCTCGTTTTTGTTGGTGGGCCAAATTTAAGAGTCGATTTAACATCTCTTCATGGCTTTTATCTACTTTCCTGTTTCTTATCATAAGATAAGATAATAAGATAAGATCATGGTAATGTCAGTTAGGAGCGTGGTTGTCTAAAATGTTTTGTTAAGGAGTAGATATTCATTTTTATTTCTTCGTAGTTCAGCGACTCTACGTTGCAACGATCTCCAGCACTGGTTGCTACTCCACCTCGTGAGGCAGTTGCCGACCAGTCCTCTCAGGTTACTGATTTTATTGACGGCCGCGGTGGTTTAACGGGTCCTCTTATGACGTCTATCAGTTTGTCTGACTCTCCTAATAGTTCATCGCATTTCCTGAATGGCCGATTGTCAAAAGGATCGTCTGCTACGAACGATGGTGATCTAAGTTTGAGCAACATCAATGAGGTGAGCTGCTGATGATTCGTTTGCTTTCCTAATCCTTTTTTCCTTTAGAATATCAGTTTCATATCTTCAATTAGTACAATGACGTATTTAGGAAAGGGATTTCTATGAAGGAAAAGATGAATTTGAACATAAGGTATAGTGATTCTGTTCAATGGTGACGAGACTTTTTTGAAAACGATCATTCATATCTGGTTTTGTAGTTCGTACCGACTTGTTCCGAAGTTTCAGTTTGATGACGAATTGTTATCATTTACAGTTTAAATTTTGATCGTCTTCTAAAGTAGAATGGATCACGGAATAAATAAATATATGATTTTTTTAGTGCAAGTTGGTGCGATTCGTTTCTAAATGGCTTATTTTGCGTTTCCCCAACCTTTATTTCTTAGACACTTGGATACTTGGATGGCCCATCCTCACTGATTGTGCGAGCTCTAGCATAAACTCCACTTTTTTTTCGAGATTTGCTGGTTTAGCCACGGTGGTTCTCTGGAATCCCGAGGTCAGCATGGCTAAAGTCTGCCCCAGGTCTTCACCACCACAAGCAGTCGCATCCCTTGTGGATCAGAGGGAGATTTGCCACCATGCGACTAATTTGATGCCAAGAACATAGTTGGTCCCGGTATTGGTTTACTCTTAGCTAGGTTTCCTGATGGAAACGCCGGACTCCTCAGCTTGGGAGATCCTGCCAAGGGATGAATACACACGCTGCACATTGCGACTCAACGCGCAGTAACACCTCCCAGGCACGATGAGGCGATAAACCGTAGGGAGGAACTTTATTCCAAGATCCACAAATATTAGAAAAGTTTAAAAAGAAAAGAACGCTCTTATACAATGTCCCAATTGTGCTTTAAAACTGATAGTTGACTAAAAATGTTGTGATCCAGTTTGCCAAGTAAGTATGTGTTGTGAGAATTTTTTTCTATCAAGTTCTTTCATACTTTTCTAAATATACTTCATTTTCAGCTGGAGTCCACTATGTATTTGAAGGATGATGCTCAGCTTCAAAATGAATACATTGCTTCACTCCTGAAAGAACTGTCGACATTAGATCCGTCCAGGTGAGACGCTAGTTACTATCGGTGAAACCTGAGGAGTTAACTTAATTTACATCAAGCCTTTACGAAGTAGTGTTGTGTTTTTTCCATTCCACGAACCAGAAATACCACATCCTTGTTAAAAGTAGCTAAAAGTTACTGGTGGAGAACGAAGGAGACTTCGCAGTAGCTTTTGAACCCATGTTTTTATTGGGCTATATATTCGTACAGATAGCCGCAGTTGTCATAGTGTATGCCAAGCAAAGGATAATGGTGTTCTTCTATACTGATTCATTATTCTGCAACTTTCATGGAGTTCTGCAGCGTTTGAATAAAATGATTGGAGAATTTAAAAGGATAAAGCTCTAGGCGTTCATCAATCCCTAAGAGATGCGCCATACATTCGATTTCATTAAGCATTGTTTGGAGGTGAATGAATACACATTTGGCTTTTACAATGACTCGCGGTGGCCTACCGAAATATCGAGCCAGTGCTGCTATCCCCCTGGACAAGTTTGGTACCAATTTGCCGGCCCCGGAGGGATGGTAGGTTTAGTGGGCCATGGACGGAGGATCGATTCCATGTGTGTTGCAGGGCGCCTCCTACCACTGCGCCACTCGTGCTCATGGAGAATTTAGCTTGGATATTTTCTCAAATATCCATAGTTTAATGCAAGGTTTATGCGAAAACATGTAGAAGATAGAAACACCGGTTATTGGTTCACATTCAATGTAGCCAATCTAAAGGTTTTTTTCCATATTCGTTTTGCAGACGTAATGAGCAGAACCATGCTCTGCAAATATTGCAACAAATGGTTAGCGAGGGCTCGTTGACGACATGGGAAGAGAATTTCAAATCACTCATTCTGCACATATTTAATGTGTTAACAGAGAATGACGTTACTTTGAAACGGAATGCGCTAAAGCTGCTCACAAAGATTTGGTTCGTCAATCCATATTTTTCTCCAGTTTTCTTTTTATAAAGGAGTGTTTAGTGTACGGTACGATTCCTTCACCAAATGTTTTAGTGTTGCTCAAGCCATGAGTTTCTATGATCTCGCTGAAATGACATTATTCAAGGTGTTGGACTCGATTTCAGAAGAAGAGAACCAGGTAAGGTCTTCTTCTACTAAGCGTTGTTTTTCAGTTTTTTGTTCTACATTTCACATGTTCCCACATGATTTGACATTTCACCTTTCGTAATGGATTTCAATAGGGACAGGCTTATCATTAACTAACTCTGAAAATTTTCATTCATATTTCTTTTTACCAAGTAGCGTTTTATTCCTTTCTACAGGGAGTTGGATAACATAAGTAGTGTTATCGAAATCATTTCCAATTACTAAACTGTTTATTGTAAACATACAATATCCTTAGTGTGACCGTGGTTTTCGATCTATATTTTATCGATTTTTGCCTCTCAATCATACTTATGATTTTTCAATTCGATGGTCTGATTTTTCTCAAAGTGAGGCTTTTAGCACGTAATGAATGTCGCCGATGAATGTCTGAAAACATTAGCTACACACTTTCCATTGCATGTCGTTATTCGAGCCACGAAACCCATAATAGCTCAAGAGGTTTGCTTTTCCATTTTTCTCCAACATTCACTCTGTAATTGTTGCCACACTACAGAACGACCCTCGAGTTGGTCCCGCATTGAAAATGCTTACCCGTCTTATTGAGTCGTTGGATGCTGAGGAACTTACGGCAAGATTACCAGAAATCGCACCAGGGGTTGTTAATGTAAGATTTTTTTCTGCATCAATTTAGTGACAGAAAATGCTATACTCCTTTTGCTATTCGCTCATTATTAGTTTTGACTTTTTTTGTTGTTAGCATAAGAATATTTAGTGCTACTCCAATCCACAGTCGAGCGTTCGTAAATCCACTGTGTTCTGTCTGGTAGCGATGGTGAACAAGGTCGGTCGAGAACCTTTAAATCCGTATTTGGAGCCACTTCCAAGTTGCAAGGTAATTTTTCATACTTTTAATATTTCATTAAAGTACCTATATTTAAATGTCTAATCGTTATCCGACGTCTATCCTTCGGTTCCGTTTCTATCTTTCGGTTCCGTCTCATAACATTGTTAGTAGTGGTTGCGAAAAACAAAGTATGAGACAAGAGAGGAGAACTGGTGGTTCATTTACGTAGAATTGTGGTCATAATAAGAGTGATTCGTAGTCAGATTCTGCAGTATATCCAGTTCAATTTATTTTCCTGTTTAGATTCATCTACTGGAGGTGTATATTCAGCGAACACAGACGTCGTCAACACATTTCTAATGCTATTGATCTTCCCAAGAATGAAATGTTTTTCCTACACTTTGCATAGTTGTTCTCAACAAACACGCGTTTATGCCAATGTATCTTCACAAACTATCTTTTGAAGGGTCAAGGGCTAATAATTGTATGGATTACTGGTGCATTGCTTTGATGAGTTATTGGAGTTTTTCTTCTGTCTCCATCTCTCACTTTCTTGAATGTTGATTATCTGTTACTTCCTAACTTTTTACAAATACTGCTTATACTACACTACTATTGAAGCAACGTTTTCGATGGCTCATCGTGCTAGTGAAATCCACAATATCGGTAGAATCACAAAGTATGCGTTTACGAAACACGCGTTACCACTTACAGGATATGATGATGATTTTTAGCTGTTTCATCGTCAGAACAAAAGATGTAGAGATCTTTTTTTCTGATGGTGAAATAGCTAAAAATCATCAGTATGAGGGACTTTCATGTTCATTTCTTTTTCTTTTTTTGTCCAGCCATGCTCATCATTATGCGAGCAGATCGCATAATGCATTACGTTTCCTGTGAGTTCTTCATATGGTGCAAGAGACATTGGAACACATTTAGACAGGACTTGTCCTGACTAGGGCGGGTGGTGTTTGCATGTCGATATCACATCATATTTCTAAACCACGTGGCTTTATTTATGTTCTATCTAAGAGCTATTGTCCTTAGGTTACAGAAGCTTAACTAAGACGGATCGCATAAGGTTAAATTCCTAACGTTGTTGAATACCGTGTTTCAAGTTCTGTGGTTGTATAGCCTTATATAATGAATTTTTATTTTGTCATGGTTTCTGTCTTCTTCTGTTTAGAACGGCGTCAATGTTCGTCTATCGTTGTTGTGATCAGGATATGGACGAGATTGGCCTTGGTGGAGGTGTCATATGTTTTAGAACCTGATCAAGCCACTGAAATTAAGCTTAATGTGTTACGTAAAATTCTTCGAATTTTGCATTACTACTTCGTTCCAGACATACTCATGTTTAGGAAGTCGTCTTTTGTTAGGGAAGTCTCTTATTTCTCATGGCAATTGCTTGTTTATGAATAGTATTGTAGTAATTAGACAGCATAGTAGAACTCGGTACGCAAGTACTAGTGCTCTACAGCTACGATTCTTGTAGGGAAGGGTAATTTCTAACACGAAGCCTAGTTTTCCTGGAATTGTGCTAAAGAAGGCTTGTCATAAAGTGCAAAAGTCCGCCAATCAATCTAAAGGCAAAAAGTTTGACAGCTGATGACTTCCACAAGCGGAATGGTGTGTCACTGCTATCTGAGATTTCTATTACCACCAATGAAAGAGCTTCGTCATTCTGATGTCGGTTTGGTGGTTATGGATCCGTCTAGCATCTAGACGGATCCCATTCTTACTTCCAAATTTAGGAAGTCTAAGAGCTCATGGTCAACGGACGGGAAAATGGAGATTTATGTTGGTGGCGGGATCCTCATGAGGTGACAACGTAAACATTCTATGTCTACGAAAACCCACTATGGGTACTAAGCTGTCATTTGTAGATTGTCGTGAAAGGTAGTGGTGGTAATTGTAAAAAGGACATACCGTCAACGGTGCATGTAGATGTATCTCAATCCAGCACGGTGTCGATGTGACGTCTTTTCGTTGGTATTCAGCTCCCCATCCTTTTACGAACGACATGCGAATGATCGTCATCTTCGTGAGTTCATACGAGGCGTCAAATCCACGAGTAGAACAGTCGGCCAGCAGCTGAAATAAACGCTTGTAAATAGAATTGCTGGGATTCTCTGAAGAGGTCTAGTTACAAATGGAATAAATAAGTGACCTTTTAATTTCTATCCTTTTTTAAAATAATCACTTGCAATTTTAACTTATACTCTGAGAGGTGCAGGACTATGACAGATCTATCCTATCTACTATCTATTACTGCGATGTGAGACCTAACGCTGTGTTAAACAGTGGCCCTACCCAAGAAGGAACGTACTTAACCTCAACATTAAGAAGGATCAGTTAAGCTCTGTAGTCTTTCAGAATGCATTTGTTAGTACTCATAAGCGACGTATGAAATCCTGAGTTGTCATTTAGACGAGTTTAGTCATTGTAGATGCAGATGGTAAATTCAATGTATTAGTAAATTTAGAACATAAACGTTAACTCCGCGATAGATCACAATACAAAACTGTTCAGTGCTGGTAAATCCGTGTCCTTTTTACCGTTCTCTGAACTCAAGCAGGACTTGGTTACTGAATGAAGTACATAATAACAGGATATCGTACCCTCCTGAAGCATTGCTCGTCGAAAATCTTCAACGAACACTTGTTGGCGATTTTGACTACCGTAGTTGGATGAAAGCCGTGGATAAAATTACAATTCCGTGACTGCACAAAAATAGCCGAATCGGATTCACACTCGGCGAATAACGTGCCTTGATGTCGTACGTAAGTTAGTTTCACGCCTGAAAAATGCTAGGATTTTCCTTGTCATTTGGCACCTACACTATCTATACTAGTACATAATCATGTCATTTTTCCGAACTAAATTTCTTTATTGATGGATTCGAAGGAGTAGAAATCGCAATACCTAAGCACAACGCCTATGTCATTTCGTAGAGCGAGAATGTCAAGAATCGTTTGTTTACTTCTCACGAGGTCCATTCGAAGCTTTAGATCCGTTCGAATAACCCATTTCAGATGGCTAACGGTAGTTCTTATGATTCTCTAAGTAGTTTCTTTTCCTTATTGTGACGGGACATACCTTTGCCAATCAATCGCCTCGTGTTTTCGATCGGTGGATTTCGATTGACGTTCGAGAACAGGCCTAGACTGATCTTTTGTGGATTGTTCGTCGGATCCGTGTATCCATCGATAAAAATAGGAGATGATGTCACCTGAAAGCAGCCGCGTTAAGGCTTATGAAAATGTCTACACAATGTTTTCACATATTCCCCACATTTCATAAATCAAAACCAACCATTTGCAATAGGCAGGTAGTAGGTACTACGTGGGACTTACAGAATCACTCGCTTGTTAGGAACTACTATTTATACCATTGAAAAACATGTCAGTTAAAGAGATGATCTCTTCGGTTTTGCTGCGGTGACTATAAGGCTCGGCGTTCTTAAAAGTCTGTTTCATGTGAATCGGAAACCCCATGAGGATTGGTAATCGAAGTTTCCAAGCAAACACGGATATTGTGTGTTCCCTGAGAAACAAGGAATGTAATCGCTATTCTACTTCAATCGTTGTTAGCAATCCTTAGGTATTTGCTCACCAAAACTACTAGTAACAAGTGCTTTATTCCATTGACCGTGACAGGATCTATGTTGTGGCAGTATTTGGGTACATAAATGAAGAAGAGCTTTGCCTGCAATTTGAGCACTCACACATCATATCTGTCGTTTCTGTTAATGTCATGAAGCAGTAGTGCGGCATCGTTGTCCTTACACAAATATAAACATACTATTTGTAACGCGCTATTTTAACACACTCCTCACGACGACGTCTAATCTCGCGTTTCTTGTGGACTTAAAGACACCTGATTTTCGACCCTTGTGTGCTTGCTGGTTTTTTTTTTTTTTTGAAATAAAAATTTTCCGATAACTAGAGGACTCCATGGGTGGTGAACATGAATGTTTTGTGGGAAAAACTTTGCTCAATCCTTTTATGGGTTTGAGTGATATTTGTGGTGGAATTACTACGTGTTACTGTGGTCCAAAGGGCGTGCGTAGCACAGTGGTCGGAGGCGCCCCGCAATATACGTGGGATCAATCCCCGCGCCCAGGCTCACCAAGCCTTCAATTTTTCCGGGTCAGCAAATTGGTGTCAGACTTGGGTGGGAGGATAGCAGCACTGGCTTGATACATCCGAAGGTCACCGCGATTCATTGTAAAGGCCAGATATGCATTCAGTCAACTACAGCGTTGCTTAATGAAACGAATGCGTGATGCATCACTCAGCGATTGATCAACGCCGAGAGCTCTTAGAGTTTTTATTATGGTCCATCATACAAACACATTACTATCAGCTTTTGGAAGTTTTTTGCAACTTAAGGGTCTCTATTTCGGTATTTTTTATGCCCGCAGATTTTATACGATGACTATCATTCACTACTTGACACTTGACACTTTGACGGCCGCCCTCATTGGTTGTGGGGGCCTCAGCATAATCACCATTTATCGGAGTTTTACTGGTTAAGCCATTGTGGTTGCATGGAATCCCGAGGTCAGTCTGGCCAAAGTCGGGGATCATCACCACTACGGGCCGGCGCAGCCCTTGTGGATCAAGTGGAGATTTGCCACTGTGCAACTTTGATACCAGGACGGTGGCAGATCCTGGTATTCGTTTACTCTTAGCTAGGTTTAGGCATCATTCACTACAGTAATTAGAATTGAAATGGTAGTTGACTAGCACCTAAATTCATGGTTAGTGAATTCGTCCTGATAACGGTTTTTGTATAATTTTAAGTGCAGAGTAAAGCTCTTCGCGACCAACCCCCAACACAACATCTGTGTTCTGTAAGATATCAGTTTGTAACAAACTGTATGAAAAAAGTTCAATTTGTGAAAATAAACTACTGGAAGGGAAATGAGACCTGTAGGGGTATAAACCGGGCTATTTCCTCAAAACTTATAACGTGTATAGGTGTCATTCGTGGCAATGGTGTTCAAATAGGAAAAAGCTTCGCCTTTGCTATCTACGGAAGGTAACAAGAATTGAACATGTCGAAGGAGCACCAACGAACTATTAGATCTGATCTAAGAACTGTTTTCCTTAATATGTAAATAAAGGGTTCAATAAATAGACAAATATATGTCAACTTACTCGAATTTGCTCACCCACTCGAGTATTCATCTCGTAGTAGCTGATTGTCGCCCAGTGTTCTGGTTGAACGCATTGTACCTAGGAATTTTTGACTATTGTACCACTGTCATTAGTAAACTATCCTTAGTTATAAAGGATTCGGCGTTGATTAATCCCTTAGGGTGCGCCATACCTTCGACCTAATTTTCAGCATTTCGAAGACTGTTGTATGCATATTTGAACTGCACAATGTCTTGCGGCGACCTACCAATGGGTTAGTGTTGTATCCTCGCGGAAAAGTCTAGTACCAACTGAGGCTGACTTCAAGAGATTTGGAGTTTGGTTTGCGAGCTTTAGGATCAAACTAAGTACCCAGTACCCTATGGAAAGCTTTAGCTCCTGTGCTGAGCACTCTTCGTGGGAATAGCACAACTGCTATATTGACTTATCTAGTAGTTGTGGATTTATTTACTTGAACGACGATGGGACGGCATGTTTCTGTTTTCGAATTAATGAAAACAATGAATTTCGCACTCATGGTTTTCTAGAATGATGCTTGTTTTTGAAGACAAATGATTACAGATGATACTTTCTTATCGTTTATTTCGCCGCAGTTTTTTTTCTCAACTATGTGTACCCATTTACTCAGTCAGTAGTTCTACGACAGATTTTGTAGCGGCCGTAGTACGAGAATAGCTATTCAGTGTACTTTAAGATCCACGGGAAACTATTTCTCGTATGACTTCGTTCGCATCATTGATTACTGCAGTAGAGCCAACGCTGGCGAGGAATGAACTAATATATCGCCGCTAGATAGAGTAGTACAAGCAGGGGCTATGTCTCATATACAGAGACGTGGATCCTGCGACGGTCACTTTCATTTTGTACCAACGCACAAAGACTATTGCTGAAGGAGAGGAGACTTTATGTTTTTTTTTGTTGCTTGGTCGGTGAAAGTGTTCAGAGAGCCGTATTAGTGGACTGTATGAATCACATATGAATTACGGCGCGCACAGGGGTAAGCTAGACTTGGTTCTGCGCGAGTGCCAACGCGTGGAGTTTGTGGATATCAATTCATTTATCAACGACTCGTATCTTTCTATTTCCTGATAATCCATTTGCTTATGTTATGAATTCGCCAAAGTATTAAAACACGATTTAGTTTACATGATGTTTTTTGAGTGTAATTGATAAAAATGAGTGTTTTAGTTAGCGTTCGTTTTTTAGACAGAAGTTGTTGTTTGCCGTAGGTGAGATTATTGCCGTTACTTTCGCTATACGCGTGATCGGCGCTGATAGTTAATGCTGTGTAGGCGTAAACCAAATAGAACGATTGTGCTCCTTTCGGGTTACTAAAAAGTGGACTTACTGCCACCGTCGGTACAGTAGGGGAGAAGTTGTAAGTGTCCATGTCGTCCACCTGCATATGGTTGAATTGTGAATGACTGAAATTGTCATGCGTATTCTTCAGAAATGATCACATTTGCGTAGGGAAAGTCAGAGACAAAATACATCGTGTTGGCGTGAATTTAGCGACATTCCCACCTTAGCGCTCATATCTGATAGGCTCGTCTACTCGACAATCTCATTCCGACATCGTTGGTCATATTTCAAAAAAGAGATGGAACGCTTTCAAATCAGTGTCTACTTCTTAAAGTGCGCTGTCACAGCCAGTGCTTTGAGTCTCAGTAAGGTTTTTTCTAATTTACACATAGGAATAATACGAACTTAAACAAGCCGGCGATCTCAATATTCTGGGGCATTGATGATCCAGAAGCTTCCATAGCTTGCATTCGTCGTATCCCAGGTGGTATCGTTGCCGGAGGTAATTCCGAGTACCTAAAACCAGTAGCGCAACTACAGACTTTTTCTCAAGGTACTAAGGCGAGTATTAGGAAATCACCTAGGGACCAACACTGGCGGCAATACTCCGTCGCTTTCGATCCGACGATAATGGTACGGGTTAATGCAGATTTCTTTCTGTCCAGAATCATAGCAGTACCTAAAAATTGTTAAGATTGAAAGCTATTGCGAAGATATATGTGATTGTGATTGTATGTTTTTGGATAAATTCATCTCAACTTAGTAGTTGGGCTACCTAATAAATCAGTTAATGGATTGATGAGATGAGTTGATGAATCTGGATCGTATCACCTTTCATATTCCCACTTTTGACAAGTATTCTTTAAGGCATTAGTAAATGGCTTCGAATGAAACAACACGTTGAGTAGAACGCTACAGATATGGTGTGCTACCTTACAGTTGTATGTACTAAGAACTGTGCCAACCTCAACCAGTTCTATGGCGAAGGTGTGCATCAACTGAAACACTGGACTGCATTCTCGAACCTTCTCTGTATACAGTTTAGACTTCTTTTTTGAAGAATTTAACTGGGAACTGTTTATTGAATTATGCGGAAATCGTTCGGTGTCCGATTTATCTATCTGCCCATCTACATAAGGCACATGTAGAGCAATGGTTAGACTTGCCTTGCGGTACAAACAGGGTCAATGCTTCAATCTAGGGCCTCGAGCTAGCCAAGGTCCCTACCCGCCCGAGTTCAGTAAATTGGAACCAGACTTGCCCAGGAGGATGGAAACACTGACTTGCAACATCCGTAGGTCAGCGAAAAACACTGTATAGAACTTAATGCCTGCAATGCCTAATGGAGTCGATCGAACGCCTTGTCGTTTATCCTGTATACGCACCTACATGTGTCGATGGCTTTGAGCTCGTGGTGTGACTGAAGATCAGGCCAGCGATACACTCGACAGTAGATTACATGAGGCAAAGCCTGAAAAACACTAGGATTTCCCATTAAGATTATGGAAGAACCGAAAACGGGTTTCAATGACATCGGTGTGAATTATATAAGACAAATTTTCCATTGGTTTTCCTAAAATTTAATAGATTTGGAAGTATATCGATTAGGTTCTGACAATCCATATTGGCGTTGTTGATCAACATTGAATGCTTTTTACCTCAAATTTTTCCTCTTTCCACTTTGTGGAATGAAATTCCTAAACGCCATTACTTTTGAAGTACTTGGATCAAGTTATATTATTTTCTGGTCTCGATTACTGATTTGGCTTCTTACTTGCCGTCCTTGTTTTCTTCTGTTGAATTATTGAGTTAACGGGTGTAGTTGGGCACTCCTCACATGTCATTTCAATCCAACAGGATGTCGGTTGAGTCAATGGAATAGCATGTGCAGTTGGAGTAAACATTATCAGGTTTTCGTCATGAGCAAACGTCATTCTTGTAGTTCATAGGAGTTGTGTGCTATCTTTCCATCATTCAACAAATCTATGTACCAAATGTTCTTCACTAAGACTGTGAATTTGGATGTGATCTGAACGTTTTACCTTAAGACACCATCCAGTGAACATATGAATGCTTCGTCCTTATCTTGGAATAGAGATCAGACAAAGAACTGTATCTAGGCAGTGTTGAATCACCTATCTTTCGAGCACAGAAAGTGTCATCTTCTTCCAGAGCAACATGAGTCATATATGCCTCATTTTATTCCCGTTTTTTTTTCTCAATTGTACCTTTTCTGCAATATTTTTTGTATTGAAATTAACGACTGCCCCTACATATATGCTGCGCCATGCATGGTTCGAAGAAGCTATTTTCCATAGATTGCAATTCGTATAAGAAACTAGAGTTTGCTTGTCGCCGTTCGAGTCAGTGTCCATTTACATGTTTACTGTGGAGGAAGGGTAACACAGAGATTGTTGCTGATGAGGAGTTAAGCGCCTAAGTATCTTCGCAATGAGTGCCCATTCTCGAAAATTGCCAGGTGAGGCGTAACCTCTATTTCGTGTATTATACGAATTATATACATAGGGCTGGTAGCGTGCAACATCTTTGCTCTTCCACGTATGACTGATACTCGTATGATGTTAAATTTGCTAATTTGTTGAAGCTGCGAATGAGGTATAGATGTGATTAAAGATAGGTTCCACGCGGGATATTCCAGTTTCATCATGAGAAATTCGACTAGATGCAAACAACTGAGAGTGTGAGCGTGGAGAACTTACGCTCTATGACATTCAAGTAGTGTTTCATAGAGACCAAACTGTGGTCTATCTCTTTATGCAATGTTTTGGCATTGCAGGCGAATCCGTATGACACATCGGCGTGGTCGATTACTTTTTGTTTTCTATTCACTACTAGGTGCGAAGGTGGTGCGGTAAAGAAGGTAAAGGTAAGGTAAAGGTAAAGGTAAAGAAGGTGCGAGTAGTTCAGTGGTAGAGATGATGTTCAATATGCGCAAGGTCCTTGTTTGACCTATGGGATCAACCAAGCGAAGAGCTCTCTGCTGTCCATGAGGGCTGATGACTGTATGTGGTGTACACCTGGAAACACCCTAGTATGGGCATCTCTGAATTACAAGGAAAATCTGCTCGAACACTATCTAACGACATGAAGAAGACCAAGATCCACAAGCACCAACTGAACCAACTAGTTCTGGGATAAACACATTATGTGGTCTCGGGTTGTCTCAGATCTATCTCGACAGGAAATGAATTGCTGCTTACAATATCCTTATCCTTCTTGAATGATTAGAGCATTTTCAAGCGTATTCGACTGGTACTGTAAGAAATAATGACATTGACGGAATAAATGAGCTTTAAGTTAGATTTCATATCTCGTATGGGTATAATCTAAACGATTCACTTCGTATCGTAATGTTTATTACGGCACTCGCATAGCAGTGGTATTTTCAACTACGCGACGCGCCGCATGCGTTCATGGTGATTTTTTCGCGCGCGCTGTATGACTAATATCTGATTCATAATGACCGACGCCGCGTATGATTCATATGTGCCTCATGTTATGCAATGCGTTCAGCCTTCGTCTCAGTCACAACACATATCGCTTTTTGTCATAGTTTGTCCGCTTCATTGATGGTTTCCTACATAATGTTTGCGTTTTCTCCACACTTTTTATATATCTTCTATATTTTGCTGTGTATTTTCATACACTATCTGGTATTTGTACGTGGTAAAATAGTACGGTTGGCACTCTTGGTGCACTCTAGTATTAACACAGCTATTCAGCTATGATAAGTTCCCTCTTTCGGTGTTCGGAACTTCTTCTCCTCAAAATTCACCGTTTTCCTTTTCGATTTTCAGACCAAAACGTGCTCGATCGATCGAGGCTCATTGGTGCATTCGTTTTTCGCCTTACGTGTCTGTTATTCCATGTGTGTTTGTTTCTTCTTCTTTTTTTTTTTTTTGCACGTTAATTCTGCTATGCGACAATAATGTGGAAGGATCCTACTGTTTGAAAAGCGCACTTTTGTAGGTTCGAATGGTGTCAGCAGAAAATGATTTGCCTACGGTCTTCGACCGATTTCTTATTGAGAGTGAAGAAGAAGAACTAGAAGACGCTGAGGACAATCTACGATCAATTGTGCTACCTGTTTCAAGTTGTGATGATGACTCTGATTTTGAAAGTGGTAGTGAGTCTGAGGAGATGGATAACGGTGAAACCAGTGAGGAGTGGTCGAATAATATAGTGCCTCACGAGCCGTGGATCTTCGACGAAAAGCAGTCTTGCGTGAATCAAAGGCTTCTGCAGGGATGTCAAGAACCAGTACATTTTTATGAATTATTCATGACTGGTATTTGGGATTTGATTGTGAACGAAACAAATAGATACGCGCAAGAGAAGGACGAGTCGTGGGAACCGACAACTGTTAAAGAAATGAAAAGATTTATCGGTCTATGTTTTCAGATGGGAATTGTTAGATTACCACGACTAAGGGATTACTGGAGTTCCAGTTCAGCTTTTGGATGCAATCCCATTGGATCTCAATCTATGGCAAGAACCAGATTTGAAAAACTATTAGCTCATCTCCATTTTGCAAACAACGCGAAGAGCAATGGAGAAGACAGATTGTATAAGATCAGTCCATTAATTGAATTTGTTAACAGAGCTTGTGAGAGGATCTACAAACCTGGTAAAGACATCTATATTGATAAGTCCATCGTACCGTTACGGTGTGGAGTCATATTCTGCCCACGAATTCCAGATAAGAGACACAAATTTGGTATCCGGTTATACAAATTGTGCAGTAGAGACGGCTACACTTACAAAACAGTTGTGCATGCTGGCAAAGAGACTTCAATAAATTGCAGTACGGATGATTTAGCGGTGAAGAAGCTCATGGAGGATTTAATGGATCAGGGTAGGCATGTCTACAGCGGTGATTGGTGCACAAGTCTCTTGCTGGCTGAGAACTTACTCCAGAGAAAGACCCATTTGATAGGCACTTGCAGAAAGAACAAAAAAGGATTGCCTAAGCAAGTCATTCAACAGAAGCTCAGAAGAGGACAACTGAAAGCACAACAGAATCGTAACGGCATAATGGTGCTCAAATGGAAGGATAAAAAGGAAGTCGTTATGATATCCACGACACATGACGCTAGCGTTTCTTCTGACTCAATACCACAAGTGGTCGTAAGCTACAATGAGGTGAAGCTGTTCGTAGACAGGAACTACCAGACGGCATCCTATTTTCCGTTTATTAGGAAGGCCAGCAAGTGGTACGTAGATGTTTTTTCCTTCAGAGTATAAGAACATACGATTTTCTTCTTCATGGTTTAGGTACATACGAATTTTCTTCCATCTAATCATTGAGACGTGTTTGGTCAACGCGTGGAAGATTTACTGTGAGACAGTGCAGAATATCACGATTGACGAGTTCAAGATCCAAGTATATTTAAGTTTACTTAAAATAGATGGTGTAGAAATTGGTACACCGTTGAGTCAACATATTCTGGAAGATACTGGTCCAGTAGCAAAAACGCGTAGACGTTGTATAGGTTGTTATAAGAAATTAGCAGAGTTTCACGACTCGAGAACTGCTGGAAAACGTGCTAAGCAAATCACCACTAGATGTACCCAATGCGGGAAACATTTTTGCTTAGATTGTTTCAATAATAGCCATAAAAAGCAAGTGTAAATTGTAAAAATTCCAGATATTGAAATAAATTTTTTCTGAACATTACGTTTTTGACATCATTGGGAGGTTGGGAATATGATATCAAAGCACATACGACGACGTGACCTCATGTGGTGAATGGATGCGAAAATAATGCCCGCTTCTAAGCATAATCAACATGTCTCAGCTCATGGTGCTTTTTTTTTACATGTCTCTTCGTCGACAACTACTTTGATTCGTCGTATCCATCATCCGCGAAAGTTTTCCAACTTTTTATGTCTGGTTTCGGCTGCTGTTTGAAGATTTTCCTTTCATTTTGAATGTCGTTGAATGCTGGTCGAGTCGATTCTCCCTGGAGTCCTG